TTTCATTGGGAGGACTCCTATGGAATCAAAGGGTTTTTTGTTGTTGTTGTTGTTGTTGTTGTTTTTTAAGCTGGAGGGTTCAGGGAGCATAAGCTAATGCCCTTAATTATACAGATGAATCAAGTTAGCTGGCCTTCCAAAGATCTTCAGATATAGGGAGGCCAGCACTAAACTGTCAGACTGTGACAATTCTTTCCCCTGCACCATCCCACCCTTCTGATAGTGACTCATAAAGCAAAACCTGTAACATCATAGACAGCATGGCAGGGCAGTGTTTTCTCCCTAGTAATCTTGCCTGTAGTGCTGGTGTGTTGTTTTTGTTTTGATGTGCTGCCTTTCTAGAGAACATACTAATAGCCCATTTCATCATACCTCATCTCAGTGCCAGCAGCATGCTCCCATGAATTGAATCACCCCTGTGCTAGGGTCATAGGACAGGAAATCCTTTTAGGAACGGGAGCAAGCCCTCTGTGATGCAAAGAATATTGGCCTGGAAGTCCGGAGATGTAAATGTTGGTGCTAACTTGGTCACCATTCTCTGGATCATGTAGTTTTTCCATCCATGCAGTGAGTGAGACTAGCAATTTCCTCTGGGTCTCGGGTTACATACCTGTGAGGTACAGAGTGAAGGCCGGTTTGTGGGGAAGGCAGTAGTGCAGATCTCATAGCCTGCTGATGCTGTAAGGAAATGAGTCGTGTAATTTCTGAGGGGTAGCTTGGTTTTGGTCTTAATTTTCTGCCTGGCTGCTGTGTGTGTTGATTTTCTAACAGAGGGAATGCCCTCTTACACCTTGTGTCTCTACCAGTGCATACCCAAGATTTTTTTTCTTCTTTAAAAATATTTTCTTCTTAGGGCCCCATTTAATGTCAGTTAAATCAAGAAAATATTCATTTCTAGCTACTGTTTAATAGATGTGGTCTATTAAAACACATTTGAAATTAAAATCTCATTATGTTTCACTAATTCTAGAGTTCTTATTCTTGTAGAAAATATAATCTTAAGGCAGATTTTTCTTTTTCTAGTGTTTAGAAATAGGTACTTATGATTTTTATAAAGTGGAACCTGTTTGGGAGAAGATATCTATGCTTAGTTCCCGTCTACTAGAGCTCAGCTTTTTGTTAAAACCATCATTCATGGAGTATTTTCTTGGACCCAGGCACTGGGACTTTCCATGTATTGATTCGCTTTATTTTTAAACCACTCTGTGAGATTAAGTATTATTACTGTTCCCACATTATAGATGAGGAAACAACTGAAGAACAGGGGACTAATTTGCCCAAGGTTTTTTCAGCTAATAGAGCTAAGACTTCAACTGAGAAGCACTGCTTCCAGAGCCCACATCTTAACCACGGTACATACTCTGCTGCCTGATATGCAGTTATGCCAGACTTATTGTTGAAGAGCTGCAACTAAGCTGAGCTGCTCACCACACAACTCCAGAGGGCTCCGTTGATAGCATGGCCCATGTGATCGGGGCCTCCTGATTTGAGTACTAAACAAGCAGTAGCTGTTTTGAAGCCTATGTTATTTTTTGGTATCTACCGACTTCCTTGTGTGTGTGTGTGTGTGTGTGTGTGTGTGTGTGTGTGTGTGTGTGTAGGCATGCATGTATACACAGGCACATGCTTGAGTCACCAAACACGGACACTCTTGCTCCTGCATATACTCTTGCACATATCTTATAGCCATTTGCAGAAAATTGCCCGGTTCCCATCTAATTTTCTCTTACCAGTTGTAATGTCAGTGTTAAAGCAGAATTGCAGACTTTTATAAGCATTTTGAGAACTTTCAACGTTTTACGAAACTTCTACTGTAGTCCTTTTGAAAGTTACTACCGAGTGGTTTAGATCAGAGGGTGACACTTTGGATGGGCCAGGAACCTAAATCCTGCGGCCTTGCATTCGCAAGTGTGGGACTGTGAGTTAGAGTTGGCCCCTCTGCGGGGTGGCACTTGAATCCCACCACAAGGGTTTTTCAGGATAAGGACAGTACTCTCTCTGGCCAGTCACCCTGTTCCTCTGTACCTGAGGCTGATACTGAGAGCAGTGACAAGGAGGTAGCATCTATCTGTGGCATAGTTTTGTATCTGTAATTTTGGTTGAATTTATTTTTCTCCTTAGGCAACCAGCCACAGCAAGGAGTGACACCGTATGGGCATCCTTCACACTTCTGAGTCTGCAAGAGGAGAAGATGTGATGTCTTATGTTTGCACTGAAAAACAGAAAATCAAATTTAATGCATTACTCATCTTAAAAATGTCCCTTTGCTTTTTCATTTCTTTGATATTTTACTATATTTTATGCTACATCTCACAAAAAAAGGTGTTTAAACAAAAAGCCAAGGAGAAGTTGTGGTTTGATTTTGTTGGATTCAACTTTAAAGTAGGTTTACAAATGTGAATCATGCAGGCAGGCCTACTCCCGGAGAGTGTGCTAGCAGACCTTTTGAAATCGGTGCTTTTTTTGAATCTCACATTTCTAGAAAGAATGGATTGTGATGGATTTAAAGTATTTATGTATTTCATTCATTAATGATTTTTTTTTTCATTTTCCAAACTGTGCTGGACCAAACTACTGATTTGAAAGGCATGTCAGATCTTGACAGAAACATGACCCATTTATTCTGCATTCACCTGTGATGGTGAAACAGACATTTATTTGCATTGCTCTAATTTGAAATGTTTTCATAAGCACTTTATAAACTTTGTTCTTATTTATGTAGGACTTTTCTTTGCTTTTGTTGTGGTCAAAAGGTGCTGAAACAGATTGTTGCTTAGTACGTAAACTTCTTAAACCAAGAACTTGAACCACGGTTTCTGTGAGAGCCACCCTAAGATGTGCAGAAGCCTGTTAGAAGTAGCTGTACTCAATTTGTTTTGAGGCAAGATGGTTGACAAGAGTCATTATGAACGGACAACATGTAAACCCTGAAGGCCTGAGAGAACTGCAGTGGAATCGTCCAATTATTTATTGCCAGCTTTGGTTCTCCTGAACCTTATGCCAACTTAAGGGGGAAACAAATCCAGCAGCTGGCTTAAGATTCCAGTGCTCACACTTGACATGGTTTCCAGAGAATCTGGCCCCAAAGTCCAGATGGCTCTGGTTTTCGTAAAAGGTGTATTTGCTGTTTATTCTGTATGGTAAGTATTTGCTATTTTGAATTTAATTATTAATGTGTCAGTCTTGGTTGTGTATTGCATATACTGTATTTATAAATTGGTGCAAAAAGCACAAGTAAATTATACATCAAATTTATTATAAAGGAAATAGTAACTATTTTAACCTTGTTCAAGTATGTGGTAATTTGCTCCTATTAGAGTAAAAAAGAAACCAGTAAATTATCAGTTTGTGAAACTTAAGAGTATTCCATATAATATTTTTTTAGATTTAGATGCATAAAATTTTGAATGTGAAAATTGCAGGGCATTTTAAAACATGTGGGGGATATTTTCCCATGTTCTCTGTTAATTCATTTTCTTTTGCCATATGATTTTACATATAATGTAGTCAAGCATACTGTGAATAGATTTGTCTATAATGAGCAGACCATGTAAATCTACTTTTTTAAAATGTAGCTAGTATAACTTTAGTAGACATTTTCTTTTGCAAATTATATATAAATAATTTATATCTTCCTAGGTGAGTTACTCATTGCAAAGTTTGACTCATGCAAATGACCTCAAATACATGTCAGCTTACTTTGCTGTGGCAACATCCATGTGAACTGCTTTGTACACTGTGAAAATATTTCACTCCAGCCTGCCCGTTTTGTGTTTACTCTGGGCTGGAAAAGACTTTGCCAAAACATTAAAAACCATTCTTTTCACTAAATTAACAGTCTATCTGCTTTCAGAAGATGTATCTGTACACATTTTGCTAGTTTTGTATATCAGGTTTTTTCCTCTCAAGAATCATACTTAGATAAACTTATGAAGTTGTTTTGTTCAAAGTAATATATCTCTATAATGACTGCATTGGCAAAACAACCGAAACGTGAATGTTGTGCCTAGTGAGTGAGTCATGTTCCATCCTTGTTATTTCTTTTCAAAAAGTCTTTGCCAGTTCTCAGTTTGAACCATTTATTTTTTAGCTCAACATTGCATACAGCAGTAATACTGTTTTAAGAATGAGTGTTATAATTGCATAGTATTTGTATGCACTTTATACTTTGCAGAGTTAAATTATTAATCATTTTGCACATGAAAGCTGTAGGGCGTATCTTTGTTGTGTTCCTTTTTTTTTTTTTTTTAGGTGAGGAAGTTATGCAAAGACTCTTAATTCTAAGATTTTATGGACAGTTGAGGAATGACCTAGAGCTGTTTTCCCCTGAGCATTATCAAGAAAATAACCAGAGGTACTTTAGTCATATTTTCTCCCTATTCTGTATCTTGAGAGGTTTTTGTTTTTGTTTTCTTTTCTAGCAAATGCATTCTTGTAACATTAAAATGGTCACAAGGGAAAGCCCTGTGGCAGAACCTGGTACTTTACCTTACCAGAGGAAATTAGAGTAAGATGGAGGCCCCAGCTCCCCTTAAAGACAAGACCTTGAAATAAAATAGAGTCAGCTATACCTATCACAATTCTTGGTTATAAGAAACCCATAGACAGTCTTCTTTACACCATAGGCTTTTTCCTTATAGGGTTGCATTTGTCATTGCATTTACCCTTCTTGGCCTGGAAGTAGAAGGAGATTGGTTACAATGAGTATCTTTGACCCCTTCCAGCCACAAGGTACTAACATCAGAGATATGTAGCAATTAGATCACATTTTAGGCTTAGATGGGGCTAGCTGAAAGTATGATGAAAACACAAGGGCGGGATCCCACATGTCTCAAATGATTGGCAGGGGCTAACATATTAGTAATTCTCAGTTTTGTGTACTGAGATATTTGAATAAGACCTGTGGCATTTTCCCCCCATTTATAATGTTCCTATAATCCTTAATAGGTGAATGTTTGAATAGATGCTGGAGAAATTACACTGGAAAACCCCAGCCCTAAATTTAGATAAGATGAATCATATATTCCCCAAATTAATTCAGGTTGAATTAAGCATGTAATATAAATTCAGTGAATTACAAAAAGCAACATTTTGTGTAGGAATGATCAGATTTTAAATACAGTGAAACTTCATTATATATAATAGATCTAGACCCTCCCAAGCTTTTTCCCATCCCATAATTATTAATGAAATGCTTATAGAGCAATGATTCCTCCTCAGAAAAATTTCTTTATAAACAGCTCCAAACCAGGGGTGCCTAAGCTAGATTTTAAAGTTATAAAGAAGTTTCATTGTATTTTTAAAACCTTTTTAATGGGTGTATTTGGACAAAAGTAATCAATCCCCTTTTCACATTTTACGATGTGCAGGTTATTACATTGCTTTTTACATGTGGAAGTTAGCCTGCATTTATTTTTAAATGCAGTTATTAAAACATTTTTGTATTCCCCATCAATGAAAATTTTCAGTGTGAACAAATGGTGAATCATAATCAAGACAGTTCAGTGCTTATTTTCTGTAGGTTTTAGCAAAAAAAAGTTTATAAACCATAAAATATTTATAGATCAGGATGGTAACTTTACATAAAGATTGCAGATTTAATATTTTCCATTGTCTCTGTTCTGAGTGCCATGCTTGAAACACTGACAGAAGGTGGACACTAGGCAACTGGTAGTAAAAGTTCATTTTTTACTGAAAAATTCAGGTACATTAGCCATTTGTTATAGTGGACCGTTTTAATGTTATTTGTTGGCAAAATAAAAGTGCCTTAAGTTACAAGTTTGTTTTGAGATCCATTAAAGAAATCAGTATCAGTTCATAATGCATTTATTTACAAGTCCTTTTATTTTGCATGTTCATTGTAAATTTAATACTGTAAATGTATTCAAATTCATTTACATGCCTATGGCTGCCTTTGATTAAACTTCTTCCAAAAAATAAATTCTGCCCAGATGTTGACTTTAATTTCATGTCAGATTACTTCAATATACGTTGCTGCATAATCACTACCAAGTGGATTCTTTGCTGTGCATTTGTATATACCAGAATCGGAGGTTTGCGGATTCTGAATGACTAGTGTACCTTGTAAGTGAAGCTGCTCACTTCCACGTGTCCTCCCTTTACTTGCCGTTGAGACAAGGGAGTGGCCAGGGATCTCCCACGTGATTTCTGGCTTGGGAACTCCCAGGGCCACACAGTGGAGCTGAAAGGCTGTCCCTGTCCTGGCGACGATGCTCCTGGGTGGACGATTTGTAATTCGGGGAGGGTAGGCTACCATCATTACTGGAACTGTAATCAGTGTATGACCAACACTATTTTGAGCCTTACAGATATAGTTTCCCTGGTCATAAGCTGTTGCTTCTTTGATGACTAAGGTACCATTGTCGTGCAATATGTATTTCCCAGTAATTTGAGGCCTGTCTACTACATAACCACTTGGCATAGTCCATTTGATGTTTGGCTTAGGAATTCCATCAGACACACAATGCAGTGATAGAGACTCTCCACTGAGGCCTTTTACTGTCCCTGGTGCATATGTAAGAATAACTGGCTTCTGGCCAATTTCTAATATGATTAATTTCTCAATATAGCCAACTTTATTCCTAGCTGCACAGCGATATTTTCCTGCATCCTCCCGGGTTGTCTTATAAATGATAAAAGAACCATTGCTTGCTATAAGATACTGATGATAACTTTGTGGACCATTGGAAAATCGTGTGCCGTTTGGTAAAATCCAGATTATCTCAGGTGGTGGGTTACCATCAACAGAGCAATTCAATACTGTGGACTTTGCCAGCTGGGCAACTGTTTTTTCATTAAATGGATTTCTGAATGTCGGTCTTCTCAGCATTTCCAGTACTTCTAACTGTACTACCAACACGCTCTCTCCTCCTTCATTTCGAGCCACACAGATAAAATCGGCTGAATCTGAAAGCCTCACATTCCTAATTTCCAAGGTTCCATTTTTATGGACTGTGATTCTGCTTCCATAGTATGGGGCTGTGAGGAAAATATTGTCTGGCATGATCCACATGACTTCAGGAGGTGGTGTCCCGTCAGCTCTGCAGTGAAAGTGTTTTTTGGAATGTCTCACAGCCGTGGCTTTAATAACAGTTCTGTTTATATACAGACCATTGATTAATGGAGGTTTAGAGACAATGTCCAGTTTGTACATTTTGGTGTCATCCCCACTAGGATTTTGGGCTACACATACGTACTCTCCAGAATCAAGCAGTTTCACTTTGTTGATGATCAGAGACCCATTGGCATGAAACGTGTACCTGTCGGTGGAGAAGGAAATCATGTCGTTGGAAGGCAGCAACCAAAATATTTTTGGTTTGGGATCCCCAATGACCTCACAGTCAAGGACAGCTGCGTCTCCAACTTTGATTCTCTTGTTGGTTTTATAATGCTGCCTTATCCGGGGAGCAGCCGTTATAACTGTTAAGTGGACCTTCATTTCATCCTTCCCTAGGGTGTTCTGGGCATAGCAAGTATAATCTCCTTCCTCTGCTACCCCAACTTTGTTGAAGTATAAGGTTCCATTGTTAAAAAGGATATACTTTCTGGTCCTGTGGCCACTGTCATCGGCTTGCATTGCATTGTTGATCATGGTTCCGTCGGGCAAACTCCAAGATATCTCTGGCTTCGGGGAGCCAGAAGCTTTGCAGTCTACTTGGAAATCTTTCCCATGGAGCACTTGCTTTCTAAAATACTGCTTGTGGTCAATTTTGGCAGGTTTCAGTCTTAGGCTGACATGCATCAGTATCAGATCATCCCCCATTTTGTTTCTTGCCACACACAAGTAGACACCACTGTCTTTTTCTGTTACCAATCCAATAAACAGGGATCCATTTGGATAGACATGGATCCGGCTGCCCATTCTAAGGAGAAAAGAGATTCCTTTGAGTGTGCAGCTGTTAGCAATGAGGGAAACTGTTTTACTCAGGATTTCCTCCCTCTGTCCTCACTTTATTGAAGGATGACCAATGAAAATTGAGTATCTTTGAGGTGTAGAATATGACATTTTGAGATGTATATATATTGTGCAGTGCTCACCATTAATCTAATTAGCATATCCATCACCTCACATAGTTACCTGTTTTTGGTGTGTGGTTAGCTTTAAATTGTTGCAACAAAAATTAAAATTACCAGCTTATTCTAAGTCATTAAAGATGAAATCTAATTGAACAGGTGTAACTTAGTGCAAATAAGTAGTATTTCTTAGATGGATTTCAAATAAATCTTCTTTACATAGTAATTTTTATTTTAATCTTGATGAGGTAAGTGCTAGAAATACGGGATTTCTAAACACCATGACTTCCTTGACCATTTTACATATCAAGTAAACTAATTGGAACATGGTCATTTAATAATATATACTGGTAAAGAGCAAATTCAATTGCTCTGAAAAGATGACAGATGATACTTCCTAAAAAGCTATTAGTAACAAAATGATTACTGAATTATTTGGTTAGCACTGTGGGGGGCCAATGCAGGCAGATCACTTGAGGGCAGGAATTTGAGACCATACCGGCCAACGTGGCAGAACCCTATCTCTACCAAAAATACAAAAAATTAGCTGAGCATGATGGCACATGTCTGTAATCCCAGCTACTCGGGAGGCTGAGGCACGAGAATCACTTGAACCCAGGAGGCTGGGGTTGCAGTGGCCGAGATCCCGCCATTACACTCTAGCCTGGGTGACAAAAATGAATCTTTCAGAAAAAAAAACAAAAACAAAAAAATACACCAAAAAACTTTGTTATTAAGAGAATACCAACCCAGGGTTCCTTAGAAGGTTGTTGCAGCATCTGCCCTCTGTGGGCAGCTGTAGAGTGACTGGTTTCAGCATTGGGTTGAGCTGTTACGGAACACCATTTTTCTCCAGGTGTACAGCAGCTTCACAGCCTACCATTACCACATTTAACCACAAGATGGCAGATCTTTCCTGGTAAAACTAAATCTAGTTTTTCAGAAAGACCAGTGGAGATTCAATTGGTGCTGAAAGTGCTATCAGGGATACCCATCGGAGAAAAGGTCTTATTTTTTGGCAACATGGACTAAATAAGTAGATAAAGCTGGAGAGAAAAGTAAGAACTGTTTTTCATGGCATAAGTGCTAACCAAGTCAAACAGCCTTAAGTCATTTTTCTCTTTTTATTTGATTGATTGATTTATATTTTTGAGACAGGGTCTCACTCTGGAGCCCAGGCTCGAGTGCAGTGGTGAGACCATGGCTCACTGCAGCCTCCGCCTCCTAGGCTCAAGCAATCCAGCAACCTCAACCTCTGAGTAGCTGGGACTATAGAAACACACCACTATGCCCCGATAATTTATTTTTAATTTTTTTGTAGAGACAGGGTCTCATTGGGTTGCCAAGGCTGGTCTCCAACTTCTGGGTTCAAGTGATCCTCCAGCCTTGGTCCACCACACCTCCTGGGTTCAAGCGACTCTCCTGCCTCGGCCTCCCGAGCACCTGGGACTATAGGCACCCACCACGATGTCTTTTTTTTGGTTTTGTTTTGTATTTTTAGTAGAGATAGGGTTTTGCCATGTTGGCCAGGCTGGTCTCAAAACTCCTGACCTCAGGTGATCCACCTGCCTCAGCCTCCCAAATTGCTGGGATTACAGGTATGAGCCACCATGCCCAGCCTACAGTTACTATTTTTAAACTGTACCAAGTATGGAGATAGAGATTTTTATTCTGCTTAAAATTTAAAATCCTCAAGAATTAGACCCTTAGAGTTAAGCATGTGACAAGAATGGTTTTCATATTTAAATGATCTCAAAAGAGTAGGTTTCTTTAGAGAGAGTTGCCTTTATGTCCAAGGTCTATGTGCACTCTCAAACTGCTGCTAGCCTTGCTGTGTCACTTTTTCCATTTCAGAAGTTGTACAGCTAAATAGATAAAGCAGGTAATTCCAACTCAAAGGTATAAGCTTACCTGTGCTGCTGGTCGACCACAGCCTTGGATGGTAACCTCCACATTATTTGAGGTTTGGGCTCCCCAGTGGCTGAGCAGTTCAGTAGTAATTTGTCCCCCAAATTCACTTCAGTCCTTTTCTGGGATGCAACTTCTATCCTGGGGCTGGTCACTCGCGCTTCCATTGTAAGCATTACTACTCTTCGCTCCGAACCCGTGGAACTGGTAGCGATGCATTCATAAGTGCCCCTGTCTGAAGAAGTTAGGTTTCTTATATACAAAGTCCCATTTGAAAATAAGAACAACTTGGAATTGGTAAAGTGTAATGGTTTCACTTCAGTGCCATCAGAGAGGACCCAGTAAATGCTGGGCTGAGGAGTTCCTTTTGCAGTACAGGGCAGTTTTAAACTTTCACCCCAAGTGCCTACAATGACTTGCCTCTTTTGCTCTAGAATAACAGGTGGTGCTGCAATGACTTGTATTTTAACCAGCAGTGAATCCTGGCCAGCTGGGTTGCTGGCCACACATTTGTAAAAGCCACGGTCATAAATACTGAGATTGTGGATGACCAATGTTCCGTCAACCGTCACCAGGGCCTGCCTGCTTCCCTGGGATGATTCCAAGACAACTGTTTGGTTTGCAAGAATCCAGGTAATTGTAGGGCTTGGCCTACCTTCTGCTCTGCACTTCAGTTCCACAGTGCTTCCAGAATGAACTGTGATCTCTTTGGTACGTCTCTCCAGGATCCTGGGAGGATAAGAAACCACAGACAAGGTGACATGAAGGTGGTCTGTGCCAAACAGATTGGATGCTGAGCACAGGTACTGTCCACGGTCCTGAATTTCCACCCTCTGGATGGACAGGGTACCATTAGGGAGAACCTGGACCCTGTTACTCTGTTTCCTTTTAGATAAATCAAGTCCTGAGAAGAAAAAAGAAAATTATTGCTATAGGTCATCAAAGTTTAGATAGAAAACATAAAGCTATCTTTTTGTTGGGCTACTGAGAATACATTTAAATTGAAACGAAAGCCAGGCCCTGTGGCTCACTTGTATAATCCAAACACCTTGGGAGGCAGAGGTGGGAGGACCACTTGAGCCCAGGAGTTCAAAACCAGCCCAGGAAACAAGTGAAACCCTGTCTCTACAAATGTAAAAAATAAAAGTTAGGTGTGGTGGTGTGCAATTGTAGTCCCAGATACTCAGATGGCTGAGATAGGAGGATCATTTGAGCCCTGGAGACCTGACTGCACCACTGCACTCCAGCCTGAGTGACAGACCCCCTCTCCCATCCCCCCAAAAATAGGACAGACATCTAGTCTTCAGATTGCTAAAATTATTCCTGGATTTTTTCATTCACATTTTACTTTAAAAGCCAGATGGTTCAGCACAATAATTATTCTTTTTCAAATTATATTTCTTTGAATCAGCTTTTTAAGCATTCCAAAAAATGTTCTTAATTAACATATTTTAAATCCTTCTAATGAGTAAAATTAAGCCAGTGTCAAATGATATTAATAGTTTCTGTGTCTTAGAAAAATTTGAAACTGATATTCTTTGGATGTGTAACCCCAAAACATAACAATCTTCTTGTTTTATAACAAACACTAAGTGTCAAGAAAAAGCTTCAAATACCTGATGAGACTCTGGTCCATCGAATGGTGGGCAGGGGATTTCCAACAGCTTCACAGGGAAGAAAGGCATCTGAGTTAGCTGGAATAGTAAAACTTGCAGCTTTTCCTCCAACTATCCTGGGCTTTTCAAATATATTCCTAGACAAAGAGTCAAAGAGAAGGAGTTTGGAAGTTGTTACTTCTTGAACTGATTTTTTATCAAAGTCACTCTTCTTTGCATTCTTCTGTCCATCCCTATTTGAAGCATGAGCGGTGGACTCTGGCAGACCTGTAGTGGGCAACATGCTTACTTCTGGCATTTTCCCTTTTTCAGCAATTTCTGAGTATGGCTTGTGCCAGAATTGGTTTTCTGACCAGGGAGATGGAGTTAATTTAGAATTCTGTGATTTAACTCTTACTAGTGCTGGCATGGGAGTAGAATGTAACAGATTAGAGTAGCTGAAGTGAGTGGTTCCAGTTGTGAACTTGGCATTTGGGTGAGCCTGGGGAGATGTTGTAACCTCTGCTAATTGCTGTGGATTAGCATTGTGCCTTGAGGATTCTTGCAGGTTGACCACTGTATTTGTCATAAGCCTGGAAATGGGAGTTGCCACGTTGTCAGTAACTGCTCTCTGAGTAAAGGGAGGGGAGATGGGAATTGGCATTAGAATAGGACTGCTGCTCAGGAATGGTAGCATGGTTGAGTGTCTAATGACTGCTTTCCTGGTGGTGGTACTCTGGTATGATTTGCCAGACAAAGTTGTCTCAGAAGCAATTGTGCTCTTCAAAGTCTGAGTACTCACTTGGTCTGGCTCTTCAATCACATCTGTCAGAGTTCTTGAATGACGACCAATTGTGCTCGAAATTCTAGTTGTGTTTTCTGGTGGGGAATGAATGAATGCAGAGACACTGGGCTTGACTGAAGTTTCCACTGTCATTAGAACAGGAAGTGTCATAGCAGTGGATGTAGCGAAGCCAGAACTCTGGCCTGGAGAGATGTTTGGGTCATTCCTGTTCTTTAGAGGCTCCTTTTCTCTTTGTATTGTTTGTGCTCTGGGTCTCTCTGTTTGGGTTTCATAAGTAATGACAGGTGCAGGGACAGTAGGAGGAATTGCTGGCATTGCTGTTTGCATTGATATGATGTTTATTGTACTTGAGTCTTTGCTTATACTAGGAAGCATGGGGTTAAAGGATGGGAAGGGAAGCTCCTTCACTGCTGGAAGACTTCCAGGACTGTATGTTTTGCTGGTTGTATGGTGAGTTGTAGTCAAGGTAATAGATGGAATTTGTATCACACTTGCTGAAAGTGTGGTGAAATGGGAGGGGGAATCTTTATCTGTGGGTAAAGCGGGAGATGTTTTAGGAAGCATCACAGCTGTGTTTTGTAAACTAAATTTATGTCGATTCTTTAATCTGCCTTTTGGGTTATGGTTATTAACAAAGTTCTGCTGCCAGGGAATTGTCCTTCTTGAAAACCTTGTAGTGGCTATAATAGTAGTCATTGGTGGCTTAGTGATAGCACCTGAAAGTGATGATGTACTCACTGAATCTCTTTTAGTTTCATTGGTGCTAGACACCCTTGGGTAACCAGCATTTATTTTGTGAGTTTTTTTCATGGGTATAGATGTTGGAGCATAAGTCATGACTGTACCAGTTGGGGTCACTTGAGAACTTTCAGTACTGAAATATTTTATTGTGGTTGTTTTCTCAATATCTACGTTGGGTTTGTTCTCAAATAGTAATAGTGGATTCTGGACTACAGTTGTAGATTCTTCTGATGCGACTCTAGCAATGTCAACTTTGGGGAAAGTAATGGGTTCAGCACTTGGAAAAGACAATGCTGCTGTTGCAGTGGTGAGACCCTCCCTGGGAAGATAGGACAGGCATGTCACATTGAGCATTGTGGCTGAGAATGTAGCAGTGCTTTTCTCAGAAGAGCCTCTGGTTGTTGGCCTGAAAATGCTGTATCTATGCCGTCGGAGAACTGGAGTTCTATATGGGCTGAAAATCCGCCCCCTTCCCCCAATTCTCCTCCGCCTCCCAAAGCGTCTGAACAGTGGGATGTTAACTGTACCATTTCTAGGGATCTGAAACTGAGAATGAGCAGCCATATGGAGATCTGAAGGGAACGTGGAGGTGCTAAGTGTTTGAGTAGTGTGAGAATAGAAGTGATTGTGCCTGGGCTCACTGACTTCTCTCTCAGATGTCTGATGACTATTTGTGGTATTTACTGACTCTAACAATACTTTGTCATTGGTGCTAGTAAGCATTTTGGCATCGACATCTTTGATCATAGTCCTCACTGTTTTTGGGGGTGTGCTTTGGAAATGCTCTCTTCCTCTTCCCATCTGGTCAGAGTCTTGAAATTCAGTATCTCTGGGATGTAGTGGAAAGACAGTGGATGGACGTTGATTGGTTGTGCCTTGCATTTGGCTTGACATGGTTGGGTTTACATTCTTTGACATGGCTATAGTTTCAATAGTAGCAGATGGTTTGAAATCTACGAGTTCTTTGGGTGGTAATATTTGTGAACTCACAACAGGAGAGAATTCTGTGCCAGAAGTTATGTTTGTCACAGGACGAGATACTGTTCTGGAGTCAGCCATCACTGTAGTTACTGCAAGGTCCGAAGCTTTAGTGGCCAGGACCATCAATTCCTCATCTCGAGTGAGCATGCCTGAGGAATCATCATCCTCACCAGGTATGTTTGGAAGTTGAGTGACCAGTGGGGGTGGGCTCACTGTGGGATTTTCTCGCTTCTCTGGCACAGCATTCTTTTTCACCTTCTCCAACAGTGCCGCCCAGTGTTGTGGGTCAATTCTCCTAGCAGACGGAGGGAAGTGCCTCCTATTCTCCCCGAAACGTCTGTGTGTTGAATCTCCATGTCGCTGGTGTATTAATTCCCGATAGTTTTGCCTCTTACTTGTGCTTGAGGCTTGTTTTCCAACCTCAGCCCCCATTGGAGCAGATGTAGGGAGTTGTGCACCTGGCGGCTCCTTAAGAGGGGCAATAGGATTGGACTCATCAAGTCCAGATCCCTCTGTTTCTCCATCATGCTCCAATGGCCTTTGTCCTTTCATCTTGACTGAAACTTGGAAAATCAAAAAATCAACTCCTGATGGGTTGGCTGCCACACAGTGATAATAACCTTGGTCTTTTGGGGTGACCTGTAATATTCTTAATGTGCCATTGTTAAGAACTTTCTTGTCTCTTGATGACTGATAGAGCACATTGTTTCCTGGAAGAACCCAGCTGATAGAGGCATCTGGGATACCAGTAGAATGGCATGGAAGATCAAGTGTTTCACCAGTGAAAACTGTGTGATGAATCCCATTTTCCTGATAGGCTTCTACTGAAGGTTCTACCACGGTTATCCTATAGGTGAGAATATCTGCATCATCATAATTGGTGCTTATGCAGTGATATACGCCCGTGTCAAAACTATCAGCCATCTGGAGTTCCAGTTTTCCACTTTTGTCTATTAGGATCCGTCCATCCTCACTGACATAAGGGGCTCTCACTTTACTTCCATCAGCTAGAAGCCACTCCAAGTGTGGGGTGGGGTCTCCTTGGCCTGGGCAGTTGAGGCCAATGGTTCCACCTACCAAAACAGTATGTTCCAGCTTAGTATTGTTGTCCCTTGAAATCATAGTCCATTTGTGTTTCACTGGCCTCATCTCTGCTCTTGGTAAAGTGATTTGGATATCACCTGAGTACTGGATCTGTAACGTACTGAGTGTGGTGGCAGTTCTGTTCAGCTGCAAGGAAATTTGGTCTTGCATTAACCAAGAGGGATCTGCTCTGAGATCTGCCTCTATGTTGGTAAAGATGTCTTCAGGCTTAGGAGCCACTTGTTTATATTTGTAACAGAGCTGTGGTGTTTCGCTAAGCAAGTGGCTCTTTTCTAGTATCAGAGGACAATCACTGTACAAAGCCAGAACTTGCCACACTGGCTGAATGTGACCGTAATCTATGTTGCACACCAAAAATGTTGAAAATGAAGTATTTAGCATTATATAGTCATTTTCTTCAGTGAATGCAATGGGTGATGTCCTTGAGGGCTTTTGAATACTGCAGACCATGTTAGCTTCATTTCCAGACTGGTCTGTCATATTCATGGTGAGGGAGCCAAAGGGTGCCATGAAACCTTGGGGAGAGATGAAAGCAGAACCACTGTCTTCCAGAATAGTCAGGCTCTTTGATTTCAGGGATGAGTCAATGGTTGGCTTGGCACACTGGAAAGCTGCAGCTGAGATCATAGCTAAGGGCTTGCCTTTAGAAGTTCTAGGGTTCATGCAAAGTGGACATTGCTGAGGACTAGAGGGACTTCTCTCTTTTTTGCATTTTATTACATCTGGAAAAAATCAATTGAGTTATCAGTTATGACCTCTATGAATTGACAAACATTTTGAAAAAATAATGTTTGCTAGAAGCTGAAACAACTTAATAGAAAGTTTTCTGATTTTTTGCTTCTGAATTGATTTTTTAAAAAGCTATTGTCTGTATAACCTGCTACAACATAATATGCACAGACACAGGATTTTGTCTGTCTTATTTACTGCGGTATTTCCTATGTTCAGCAAATGCCTGATATATATTTGGTACTCAGTAAATATTAGTTGAACGAGTCATTTTTTAAATCTAGGGAAACAAAATGATACACTCATGCCCGTCAGTTTTTATTAATAACAGTTCAGTTCTATTTCTTCATTTTAACATTTTAAGATAGCCACAGGACTTCATTGTTCTTTAAAAGATAAGCTGTTTGTTAAATGATCATTTATAATCCCTTGGATATCATTAAAAACCCGTTTATTTCCATTATCCAAAAGAATATTAACTGAATTACAAGGTACCTTGACCTGATCTAGCTGAGTAGCAATAGGAATTAAAAGCAGCAGATGAATGTGGGAGACAAGGAAGCAGGTAGACCCAGTCAACAGGAGGTGAAGATTGACTGAACACAGACAGTGACAGAAAGGAAGGGTCAAGAAGACTGTTTTATGACTTTGGAAACTGGATGGTTCATGGTCCCCTTGGATGAGGTAGATGCACTGGAGGATCAGATTTAAGGGGAGGGAAGAACATTGTGCCAAGGCGGCAGGACAGCCCATTAAAGCTCTGACATTCTGGTGAAATTAGAGGTTGCAAGTCTTACACAGCACTAGGACCAACACTATAAGGACCAGCATTTCTAAGTGACAGGTGCCTCATCTTTCAAATATTTGGATATCACATTTAAAAGCTCTGCTCTGGTGAGCCTATTTAAAATGGTTGGTCACTGGAATACTTGGTAAGAGGTATAGACTTTCCCCTTACACAAAATACAGCCTGAGACATCCATGCTGTTCCATGTAGTAGTTCTTATATGATGCACTTGACACAGCACTTAACAAAAGCATTGTACTTCTTAGAAGATCTAATTTGCCAGAGTGGATGGATAGGGTCAAATCTCCTTCCCATGTGTGCACATGTCCTCTCAAAGGCTTAACAAAGTCACTCTGGGCTGAGCATAGTGGCTCAATGCCTGTAATCCTAGCACTTTGGGAGGCTGAGGTGGGAGGATCACAAGGTCAGGGAATTGAGACTAGCCTGGCCAACATAGTGAAACCCTATCTCCACTAAAAATACAAAAATTAGCTGGGTGTGGTGGCACATGCCGGTAGTCTCAGCTATTTGTGAGGCTGAGGCAGGAGAATCACTTGAACCTGGGAGGCAGAGGTTGCAGTGAGCTGAGACCATGCCATTGCACTCCAGCCTGTGTGACATAGTGAGACTCTGTTTAAAAAAGAAAAGAAAAGAAAAAGTCACTCTGACCAAAGATACTGAACCCTTCTGTGTGTACTACAGTGTGACAGGTAATGTCACAGATGCCTGGCCAGTCAGCATTCTTCAGCAAATTTTATAGTCTAAACCTATGCAGAGGAGGCGGCTGGCAAGATGGAAAACCTTTGAATAATCATAAGAGTTGCCTCCCAGTCACCCACTTGCCAACAAGCTATATTCCTTTATCTACTTATCACTACCCTGGGCTAAGACAATGTGGCAGACTTCTGGCTTAATGAAACCTCATCACAGAATATGCTCACACCATGGCATGATTATTATTGCTTGCACTGAGCCAGAGTTAGCAGGCCTTGGACGTCTGGTATTTTGCCTCAAATGCACACCTGACCACGTCACCTCCATTCCCTCCATCACACTCGGTTCCAGCCCCATGGAAATCCTTTCCATTCCTCCACCCTGGCATGCCATACCAGGCTCTGGCATATGCTGTTCCTTCTATGGACCGTACACCTGTTGTCTTACATCATGACCTAAGTACTGACTGAACATCCTTCAGAACCCAGTCTGAACAGCACTTCTTCTGGGTGGACTCCCTGTTTTATAGTCTCCTGGTACCTTCACTTCTTGTATCTTACTTTTTCATTACTCTCTATTAGAATGACTTGTTTACTTATCTGTCTTCCCATGAAACTATAAACTTTATTCTTGTTCATCTACATGTCCCCAGCCCTGGCCAATTGAGGCTCAGGAAAGATCAGCAGAAGGAAGAAAGGCAGACAGGCAGGAAAGATAAAGTGGCTAATTATAAGACCCTGTTGTTTTTTTTTTTTTTTTTCCTCCCCACGTTTCAACTTATAAATTGAGAAGTGCCTTACAGTTGAAGATGTTTTACAGTAACAGCTGACAAATTGGCAACCAATATAGCTATCACAACATGTACACCCATAAAGATTGTCATAGCTATTTATGTCACTTTCTGTTGTATCACATGTATTGGTGGTACAACATACATTAAATTTTGCCTTTAAAATGTTTCAATTAAGATTACACTATGATTTAGAATTAAAACAGGTTGTCAAGTATGTAGAAAAGAATGGAAACAGAGCAGCAGGACATAAATTTCATATTCATGAAACAAATCCTTGTTAGAGAAACGGCCACAAATTCATTTTATAGAAACGCTATATCAACAGCTTTGCGGAATCAAAGAATGGAGGATACCTGCAGTAGATAAAGTCGTGTTACATTTACTGAGATTGGCACAAAAGGATTGCCTACCACATGCCAAGTAAGGTCACTGAAGGCATGAACAACTGTCGAATCTCTCGGAATTTCAAAGCATAAAAGGTTGATGTGACTGATCAGTGGGTCTTATAAAAATGATCGTTAAGTCATCTCAGTCAAAAGGAGAACACTTGATTATTAAGACTGAAAGATGTTAGCCCCTGTGGGTCCACTTATTTTACATATATAATGAATTGATTAACAGTAGGAACATGTTCTGGAAAATGCATCATTAGGCAATTTAGTTGTGCCAACATTATGGAGTGTACTTACACAAACCTAGATAGTATAACTACTACACACCTAGGCTATATGGTAAAGCCTACTGCTCCTAGGCTACAAACCCATACAGCATATTACTCTACTGAATACTGTCAGCAACTATAATAAAATTCTAATTATTTATCTAAACTTAGAAAGGTAACATGTTGCACTTTATGATGGCTACAATGTTACTACGCAATAGTTTTACTTAAACTCCATTATAAATCTTATGGGACCAGGATCATCATATATGCCATCTGTTGCTGACTGAAATGTCAGTATGCAGTGATTACCCGTGCGTGCCTATCTATATGTACATAAGACATATGCATAAGTTTATATGATGTGTGTTTTTATACATATACATATATATATATATATATATATATATATATATATATATATATGTACGTTTTGGACATATTGAGACCACAGGTAAAGATAAATGAGAAACAGGAAGGCAAAAGACTTCTAGTAGTAGTAAATATGTTATCTATTCAAGAATGGAAGCACAGGCAAACAACCCAAGTGGTGAAATGGTGATTCTGATGGAGATGGGGTGGCTGGAGAAGCAGCCAGACTTCTCAGAAGGGCTGAGTAGTTCGCAGGCTGGCTGAAAACTATCAAGCAGAAAAGGAAAAGAAGGGCTCCAGGCAAGGGCAGCAGCAGCCGTGAGGGAGTAAAACAGCTTGTGGTGTGGCAGGAAGTTGTCCAGAGTTGTTAGAGCAAAAAGTGCCTATGTGTCTGGGGTGTGCGGGGCCGAGGGTTGGAAAGGAGGGAAACAAGGCTGAGGATGGGCCAGCACCACACTAGGAGGACCTGGCCTGCAGCTAAGGAGCATGAGATTTATTTTCTAAGCCAAGAGTCAACAACATTTTTAAAGAGCCAAATAGTAACAATTTTAGGCCTTCTGAAACATAGTTCTCTGACACTACGTAACTGCCACAGTAGCCAAAACACAGCCATAGATGATGTATAAAGAATTCATTGTTCTTGAATTATTTCTGAGATGTTATTTTCTCTCCTAAATTACCCTGGCCTCTCCACTTACTAATATAACACCTCTAAGTAGATTTCTTCCATTTAATTGGGACAAAAAAAATAAACAATATCGATACCTGGCTTCTCCTGTATCCAGTCAGACAACCACTTTAAATGGCAATCACAGGTCCATGGGTTCCCATGCAGGTAGAGGCTTTCTAGGTCAGGCATATAGGAGACCATCTCTTGAGGAAGGGAGGTCAGGAAGTTATCCGACAAGTATAGGTACTTAATGAAAGAGATTTTAAATATCTGGAGATAGCTCAAAGAGACAAACGTATCTGGATGGAGCTTAGTAAGCCGATTTCCTTCCAAGTGCACCAGGCGGAGAAAGCTGAGACCATAAAAAACCTCAGGGTTTATAAACTCAATATTGTTGTGGTCCATGTGCAATCGCGTCAAGCTCCTGAGGCCATAAAAAGTATCTTTCTGAAGTTTTCGGACTTTGTTATAGCTCATTTTTAAGACCTGTGAATTTTTTTTAAAAAAGAACATATGTATGTTGTCCAGGGAATTTTCACAAGAGGGAAAAGTGTTATCAATAACAAAACCTATGTTGGAATTAATTCAATGCAGTTTTTACACTTAGGATTCCAATTCAAATTAGTTGCAAATTACATATGACAGTATCAGAGAAATTAGAATACTCAGGAACATCTGCCTATTGATATTAAAGAATGATTTGTTTCTTTTTTCTTTGAGACAGAGTCTTGCTCTGTCACCCAGGCTGGAGTACAGTAGTGTGATCTATGCTCACTACAACCTCTGCCTCCCATGTTCAAGTGATTCTCCTGCCTCAGCCTCCTGAGAGTAGCTGGGATTATAGGCGCTCACCATCATGCCTGCCTAATTTTTGTATTTTTAATAGAGATGGGGTTTCACCATGTTGGCCAGGCTGGTCTCAAACCCCTGACCTCAGATCATCCATCCACCCTGGCCTCCCGAAGTGCTGGGATTGTAGGCATGAGCCACCACGCCCTGCCAGAAATAATTGTTAAAATTAAGCACATATATGTTTATTGTGGCAATGTTCAAAATAACAAAGACTTGGAACCAACCCAAATGCCCATCAGTGATACACTGGATAAAGAAAATGTGGCACATATACACCATAGAATACTATGCATCCATAAAAAAGAATGAGTTCATGTCCTTTGCAAGGACATGGATGAAGCTGGAAACCATCATTCTCAACAAACTAACACAGGAACAGAAAATCACACGCTGCATGTTCTTACTTATAAGTGGAAGTTGAACAATGAGAACACATGGACACAAGGAGGGAAATATCACACTCCAGGGCCTGTGGGGGTTGGGAGCAGGGGGAGGATAGCATTAGGAGAAATGCCTAATGTAGATGACGGGTTGATGGGTATAGCAAACCACCATGGCACGTGTATACCTAAGTAACAAACCTGCACATTTTGCACATGTGCCCCAGAACTTAAAGGATCATAATAAAAAGAAATTTAAGATATATAAATGATACTGTGTCTATTTTAAAAAGATTTCTTAATTTTGAGATATATATTGAAGTACTTATAAATGAATATTATGAAAACTTGGATTTATATCAAAATAATTCAATGGAGTGGAGGGTAGTGGGTGGGGAGTGCAGTTAAGACAAGATCTGTTATGAGTCCATAACTATTGAAGCTGGGTAATTATAGGGTTCATTATATTAAGTCTCTCTATAAAATTTTTATAAGGTTTAAAAACAGTATTTCAAGTAAAGATTTCCTGAAAACAAATTTTTCCTAACAGAGACTATTGATTTTAATTTATTGAATTACAGTTCACGTGCCATAAAATTCACCTTTTAAAGTGCACAACTGCTTGGGTGCAGCGGCTCCCAGCACTTTGGGAGGCTGAGGCAGGCAGATCACTGGAGGCCAGGAGTTTCAGACCAGCCTGGCCAACACGGTGAAACCTCATCTCTACTAAAAACACATATACACACACACAAAATTAGCCGGACATGGTGGCACACACCTGTCATCCCAGCTAGTTGGGAGGCCAAGGCATGAGAATCATTTGATCTTGGAAGGCGGATGTTGTAGTGAGCTGAGATTGTACCACTGCACTCCAGCCTGGGTGACAAAGCAAGATTCGGTCTCAAAAAAAAAAAAAAGTGTATAATTGGTTTTTAGCATATTCATAGAGTTGTGTAACCATATCCACTATTAGAAGCTTCTGAATAAATTTTCTTATAAACTTTATTTTGCACCCCAAAATAAAAACTGTTACCCATTAGCAGTCATTTTTCCCATCCTCTTAGCCCTTCACAAGCACTAGTTTACTTTCTGTTTCTAAACATTTTATATAAATGGAATCATACATTATATGGCATAGTGTATGGCTCCTTTCACTTAGCAAGATGTTTTCAAGACCCATCCCTGTCACAGTGTGTCAGCCCTTCATTCCTTTCTTTGCTGAATAGTATTCTACTGTATGCATGCACAACACTTTGTTTATCTATCATAGATTGATGGTCATTAGGAGGTTCTTCTACTTTTTGGTTATGAGTAATATGACTAATTAATTTTGAGTTGCAATTAAAATAATTTTGAATATTTCAATAGTGCTTAAGTATTCCCCAATTCCCTTTCCAATTACAAGTTGAACATTCTCTGTCTCCCATAAAGAAAAAAGAAATGCTAGTATACACAATTTCTCATCATATTTTCCTGACTTGCCTGAACTGTCATCTCTGTCAAAAATCATTTTCTAGAATTCTAAGATCCCTAATAAGAAAAGAAAAAATAAGCTGGCAACATAGAAGAGCTTTGCCCCAAATGTAACCTGGGAGTTCAGTCTTCAACTCAATGTTCCTCAATATCCATTGAAAACTTGGTTGAGAGAATAAACATGTGGAGAATTCTATAAAGGACATGCAATCCATCTATTCCTTCAAAGACATACATTCCACATAGAGCCTGATTAACCTAATCAGCAGAATCGCATAGCTACATTATACTCTATTGCCCTTCACCGAGGTTATAACCTCCCTCACCGGTGTATGTTAAAAGGCTCTATGAACACAGGTACTTTATCTCTTACAAGTATAGTATTAACTTTAGTTTATGACACTGTATTTTATGAGGAACTTTGTAAGACATTTCTTTCTGATTTAAAATCATACATGGCTGGGCTTTTCCTGAATAGATTGTTTAAGTTTTAATAGATGCCATATATTGTTAGTTTCTCAAAAGCCTCAAGTCCTACTTACAGCAGACATGAAAGTCTCTATGTATACATTTCCTCATCTCTGTATTCTTATCTCTAGGCTTATTTTACCTTTTACTTTCTCATTCACTTTTGTGATCATTCTTCCATGATTTTATGCATTTTTGGGAGGCCTCATAAGCTTAAAAAATTGTTTGAACAAGGTAGAACATGAATAAGTAAATAAAATGAAACTGAAAAACAGTATACTGATTTATATAAAGCTAACATCTGTCTAGGACAGCCATTGTTTTTAGGAACCACATTCAATTCCCAGATAAACATGACTAGAAGTATTCTTTTAGGATTAAAATTTAAAGGGTTATTGATGTTTTTTTTCTATTAGCCTGAGGTATTAGAAAACTTACCTCACAATTTTCTTATTCTAATTTCCATATACAGTTGCACAGTTAAACTGTTTTTTTGTTTTTTTCAACACAGCTTCACTCTTACTGCCCAGGCTGGAGTGCACTAACGTGCAATCTCGGCTCACCACAACCTCTGCCTCCCAGTTTCCAGCGATTCTCCTGCCTCAGCCTCCCGAGTAGCTGGGATTACAGGCATGTGCCACCATGCCTGGCTAATTTTTTTGTATTTTTAGTAGAGACAGGGTTTCTGCATGTTGGTTAGGCTGGTCTCAAACTCCTGACCTCAGGTGATCCGTCCACCACAGCCTCCCAAAGTGTTGGGATTACAGGCGTGAGTCACCACACAAGGCCAAAAATCAGTTCTTTAACATTCTCCATTGGCATCTGCTTCTAATTTACAAAATGTTTATTTTTGTATTGTGTAGAGATAGGCACCCTTTGAAGGTCTATCTCACTGGTCCCACCTCACCTCTTTAACCTGCCCCCTCTCTCCATGGGTCTCACCTGCAAGGCCTGCAAATCTGAGAAGGTCTTGTCAGGGATTGTGTGAATGCCATTGCTGTGAAGCATGAGTAACTCCAATTTGGTCAGGCCAGAAAAATCTGTTTCCGTCAATCTAACCAAGCTGTTATATCTGAAATAAAAAATGACATTCTAGGCATAAGCTAAGTCTGTCAACTAAAGTTCAAATGTTAAAACCAAAATAAACACAAAAAGACTCCACACCTCTCCTTTTTTTTAACTGTTCTATTGAGATAATCAAATGCTTGAAATATGGAAATCCACTAGATGCTGTCTCAGTTACAGTCACCCCCTTCACATTCTGGGAACTTGTCACGTTTCTTCTCATTTTCAAACTTTTATATCTATGCTGTTCCCTCAGGTTGGAATGTCCTTGACCACATCCTTTTCTGTTTGTGAACACTTAATATTTAGCCGATTCTTTCATGATACTATCCCCTCACTCCCAGAAGGAATTCCTCAGCAGTGGTTAAGAAGCCTGGGCTCTGGAGCCCAGGTTTGGGCATCTGGTTTGGGTATGATTATAAGCTCGGGCTCAACTTAGTAGCTATGCAACCCTGGGTAAAGTCAGCAACCTTTATGTGCCTCAGTTTCCTCATTTATAAAATGTAAACTTAGAACTCAATCCTAAGGGGTTATGAGGATTAACCCCTTACATGGACACAGTGCTTCACTCAATACTAGCATATAGCACAAAATTAATGTTAGCTCTTAATCAATCAAAATTAATGTTAGCTCTTAATCAAAATTAATGTTAGCTCTTAAAATTAATGTTAGTCACTAAGTGACTGTCTCTAAGACACTTTGTATGCTCTATTGCATTTTTTATTCATTGTACTGACCGTACATTTGTCTTCTCTATGAATACATCTCCTAGAAGTGAATACTATATCGTTGTATTCCCAGTGCATAGTACATGCTCACTAATGTCAAATAAACCATGTTAAGTCCAACATGTATATTCACACACATTTTTTCATGAACATTGTTATATTTTTGCAAATTTAATTAGGCATCCATTTTAGATAAGTTTATATGGAAAGCCAAAGGACCTTTAAAAAGGAGATACATATATATATGTATATGTTTATATATATATATATGTTTATATAGATATCTATGTTTATATAGATATATACATATATAATATGCATATATAAATATATACATATATACATGTAGATGTATATTGAATGTTGTGATTCATCTCCCAAAGTCATAGATGTTTGAGGAATAAGTCACTGCTGTGATTGATCACTCTTTAAGAAAAAGAAAGATAGGGCCTCACACACCCTAAATTGATGCGTTCCACATTGGGCGGGATGCTATCTGGGATGGAGGTCAGGTACCGAAATGTGCAGTGTACTTCCACAGGTATATAACAGGCACAGCGGCGAGGACAGGCCCTGCCCCCTGGGATGGCGACCAGGTAGATCACAGCAAAGGAGACCAGCAAGCAGGTGATTCCTCTGCCTTTTACCTTCATCCTGAAAAAACATCACACCTAGGAGTTATAAAGAGCGGTGGAGCACAGTCCCAGGACCACCACACAGTCACTCTGGGAATCCGGGAGGACTTCCTTAAGGGTCATAAGTGGCTGATTTCATTCCTACCCTTTGTGGTCAAATGCACTCTTTAGAAAACCATAGTGTGTGCTGCTGGCATCACACTGCACTTTATGATCAAGTGGGATATTTACTGTTGTGATAATTTCTTCACAGCTTCTCACTTCTTAATAAAAACCAGGAATCCCTATTACTCAGGCATTCATTAAAAGGGAAACTGTAAACTCTAAGAAAGATATTGTGACAACTGGACTATATAAAATTTAGTGTCCTTTATAGACATTAATTCTTTTAGAGTAGCTTTTAAGAAACTGATTCTAACAGTAATACCTGTGCATAATAAAACATTTGGAAACTGTAACTAAGCAGTAAAAAGGAAAAAAATTACTCAGTCTCACCACTGATACAATCCTTAACATTTTGTTGTATTCCTTTTCAGCATTTTTCATATACTGTGTGTATATGTATAGGTGCACATACAGTTAGGTGTATATGTGTACATATGATCAAACAATTTTGTAACACATTTTATCATTTCATATACAATGTGTTTTTCCATTTTATTAAATCATCTTCAGAAACATTTTTTAAAGGCTGTAATAATCCACTGGAAGGGAGAATAAATCTCTTTTTAATGGGTTTCCAAGTCCCTGCCAAAAGACACATTGGACACTTCACTGCCAAGTAATGATCACAAGCAACAGTGACTGACCAGCTGAGAGGGCTTGAGCCAAGCTGACCCCGTGCAGGCATGATACTGTCTGCTTTTGCTCAGCTTAGAACATCTCTCTGCCTCTTTCCTTGGTCCCTCCTCCAGCTCATGGCTGCCACAGAAGGTGGGGAACATAACCAGGAAAGAAATTGGATGAACCTGGAAGCCATCATTCTCAGCAAACTGACACAAGAACAGAAAATCAAACACCGAATGTTCTCACTCCTAGGTGGGTGTTGAACAATGAGAACACATGGACACAGGGAGGGGAGCATCACACACTGGGGTCTGTCAGAGGGAAATAGGGGAGGGACAGTAGGGGGTGGGGAGTTGGGAAGAGATAGCATGGGGAGAAATGCCAGATATAGGTGAAGGGGAGGAAGGCAGCAAGTCATGCTGCCATGTATGTACCTATGCAACAATCTTGCATGTTCTTCACATGTACCCCAAAACCTAAAATGCAATAAAAAAGAAATATGCTCAACTTGTCAGAAAAAAAAAATGGCATCTGTTACCCATATGTGGGGCAAGCCCAGGAATCCAAACCTAATTATCTCCTGAAATGCAGAACACACAGGGTTGAAATAAACTCTTAATTGTGCTTTTCTAAGCAAGGAGACCTTCATAATTTGTAATAAATCCCATCATTTTGTGGAATAGCATGGTTTTGGATTCTACCAGCAACTATCCTTTAGCTACAGACTACACTGAGAAATAACATTGAGGCTGACCTGCTTGGATTTTCATACAGATAAAAAGATGATGGATGTATTATTAGAATTTAGTCCAAATTAAAATTTAAGATAGGATTAATCATATGACCACTTTTGTCATTGTAACCACATGGTTACCAAAATTTTAAATAAGCTCTGTATGATTGAAGACGACATTTCCACCTTATTAGACTAGCAAAGGAAGGAACAGCAGGATGAAGGTCAAAAAAAGTTCTGAGTATGCCCACATTCAAATTACTTGAAAGAGAAGCAAAAGCATAAAACAACATATGAATATAAGATTCTCACATACTGAAGCCTGAAACTGTACATAATGAAATAGGAATTGGCAATACCTGAGCTCTTCTTTCAGGTCCTGAATCCTCTTGTGACACAGGCAGAGAGAAAATCTTCCCAGGAAATGGAAAGTTGTGTCCAAACCTGAGGAAGAAAAAGTTCTCTGCTCCCAAGTGAGCAAAAGGCTTAGTCTTTTTGGCTTACAGCTCAAGAATAATGATCTTCAGGGAGCCCCAGGGGCGCTTTCATAGCTACAAAGTACTAAAACCCATAACCACATTAATGCAGAAGTGTTGAGTATGACGCTTCTTGTTGCAGAAACAAAAGGCAAAGTGGAGGTTTTCAAATTTTCTCTCTCCCTCTGTAGTGTACTTTTACTCCTCCAAGTTGTCACTTGAATATTAATATAACTATTACTAATCACTCCATTTTGCTCCAAAGTCCCAAGAGCTTCTCCTCAAATGGTCTTTTTGGACAAATCTGTCACAGATGTCTCCATCTGTTATCTTTCCTCAGTGTGTGCTTTTTGTCTGGCATCGGTCACTGAAGAATCATCGTGTGCTGTCGTGCCCCCACCTTCTCCCGGTGCGTCTTTCCTCCCCCGCTCTCACCCTCCTCCCCGCCCCAGCGCCCTGACGCGCTCCATTCCCATGCCAAGCCCCAGCCGGGTGGGGTTCCAGCCCTTTCCAGGGAAGGATTGGCCGAGCCGCTCACCTCTTTGCCCTGGTGACCAGTGGGCTGGAGCTGCCCGGCGGGGTCGCGGGCTCTGCCGCTGGGGTCCTGCGGAGCTGGTCCAGAGCCCTGGGAGGAGGGAAGGAAGGCGGGGCGAGGGCGGGGGTGAGCCCGACTTCTGTGTGTGGTAACGCGGCCAGCGCTCAGCGCACAGGATGAAAAACGAGCACCCGACCCCTCTTTCTGTTTAAGAGCATGTGGGAAGCTAATTTGCCTTCGCCTTCACTCTTGCTTCCTCCTTGTTTTAAATTCTCAGGGCTTTCTCCTAACAAGTTGGCAGGTCCTGGCTGGGTGGCCTGGACCATTTCAGTGGCCGCTGCTCATTTCCCCCTTGACCTCTTCTACCTGTTGACAGGTGGGCCTTTTGGTTTAAGGGTTTGCATAAATCGCCACGGGCTGTCCTTGGTCCTGTGACTCCCAAAGTTCTATGTGAAGGCTGAGTTAGCGTTAATGACCTGTGATACTACCTGCAGTGTGAATGTTCTGTTTAAACCTCTCTTTTTAAAATAAATAAATTATATTGTGTATATTTAAGTTATACAACATGATGTTGCAGGCTATAGATAGTAAAATGGTTACTACAGTAACAACATGTCCATCATCTTACATAGTTACCTAATTTTTGTTTTTGTGACAAGAGCAGCTAAAATCTACTCTTTTAGCAGGAATTCCAAACACCATGAAATTGTATTAACTATAGTACTCTTGCACATTAGATCTAGACACTGGTTCAGCCACAGGTCTGTTCCTTTGTATTCTTTGACCTACATTTCTCCATTTTCTTTCTCCAACCCCTATAACCACTATTTTATTTTCTATTTCTGTATAATTGACCTTTCAAAAAAAGATTTCACATATAAATGAGGTCATGCAGTATTTTTTGTTTGTTTGTTTCTGGCTTATTTCACTTGGCATAACATCCTCCAGGTTCATCCGTGTTGTCACAAATGGCAATATTTCCCTCTTTTTTTTTTTCCTGCTGAATATTACATTGTATATAGATGTCTCATAGGAATCCTTCTTTTAAATCATTATCACAGAACTGGATTTAAATACCACTATTTCTGCTTGTATTACATTCTCCTTTCTCATCTCCACCCTAGAATCGCCTCTACCAACTTGTCCACATGTTGCTCCTGCAATTCTGGATGGAGCTCCCAATACTCATAAACACTAAATTAACATAACTAAAATGTCCTTGTTTCCTTCCATGTAGTTACATAGCATTTAAACTTTTGATGACAATTTGCAATGAATGTTTTAGGGCAGTGTATCTCAAGGTAAGGTCATGGGTCCAGCATCATGATTACTTTGGACTTTGTTAAAAACACAAATTTACAGGATCCATCTGAGACCCACTGATTCAGAAACTGTACAAAAGAGGCTTAGGAGTCCATGTGTTAATAAGCCTTCCATGTGATTCTGATGCAGCTACAATTTGCAAATTGCTGGTTTAGTAAAATAACTTCTGATAAACGTTTTACAAATACCAATTCATTTCAACCTCACCATAGCACCAAAAAGTCTTATATTATTCCCATTAAGTAAGGTACATAAAGGAAAGTGATGCAGCCCCAGACCATGCAGCTTGTGAATGGAAAAGCCAACGTTAATTCAAACCCAGGCAGTCTGGACCTACGATCTGAATGTCTAACCGTAAAGCTGTGGCTGCCTCACTTAGCTAAACATGGGTACTGTGCCATGTCCCATGGCTGAGCATTCATGTGATTTATGGTAATAAGTCAGTTACCAAAGAATTATAGAATCAGAGACTCAGAGTTAGAAGTAACCCTAGAAGCATGTATATGAATATAGTCTTTAGCTCTGCAGAGCTGACAAGATTCTTTTAAATTAAAAATTCACATGGGATATCCAAACTTGGATGCTAGCTTTGGAAATATGGCATATTTACCAGGTTTTGGCAGCCATAGTTTGTCTTTCTCCCAAAGCTCCCTGATGACCAATCTCATGGCTTTGTATCCTTTAGTGAATTTCTAACCCACGTCTGTACTTCTAGACCTCAACTAGGATGAACCACAGCAAGACGACTGTAACATGTTATACTTATTTTCCCAGGGTTGTTACCTGGGGTCATTTTCTTGCTATCAATTTCAAAGAGACTCTTGTTAGGAATGTTTGCTTCTCTTAAGAATTTTAATGAGACACATCTCCACAATTGCTTTATGTCAGAGCTCTTCTCCGACATATTTTCTACTTTTCATGTCCTCTGCCAGAATTATTAGAAACCTGATTCATATTGGTACCAATTCTAGTTCAATTTGCTCTACTTAATAATTCTAATAATACTTGTAATTACTTTTATAGTTAGAGTATATATGTGTCAAAGCCTTTATGTGTATTGCTTAATTCTCAGAAATATTCTGATGAGGTAGGTGCTAAAATTATACCAATTTTTAAGATGAGATTGCTGAGGATAAAGGATGTTAAATGATTCAGAGCCAAAATGCAATACTGAATTAATTTAAAAATTGTAAAGCCAATACTTTTAAGCCTTACATTTTCTAACTTCCTCCTGCTTTTTATTAAATTTGGGGAGTCCACAGCATATCAAAGAATAGCTTCACCACTCTTTTTTTAAGCATGCTTAATCATGCAATATGTTTCTATAGCTTCATATGGTTTACAAAGTACTTTCACCTTTGAACATGGCCTCATTTAATGTTTATAAGAAATATGTGAAAGTCAATGATAATGACTTTATTTTGTAGATGTAACTTTATTTTGCAGAAGTTAACTGAGTGTGTAATTGGCCAACATCTCAGAGCTGGGCATAGAGACTCTGAGTTCACTGTTAATCTGAACTCCTAAACCTGTGTCTCCTGGACTATGGTCATTTACCTACACTTTAAGGATGGTTTGACATTTTAATTACCTCTCACTATAGTTTACCTAATGTTTTTATTTAAATTATCTCCCTCTTTTTGTTACTCTCTTCTTAAACAGTATTGTTGGTAAATTCACAGGCTTTGTATTTTTTCTAGTAAACATGACCATAAATATACATCTCCATCTTTTATATCACCCTGGGAATTCCATATTCCCTCATCTCTAGGTCTTTGACATTTTCTGTCTTTTCTAGTAATTACATGCTTCTTACTCCTCATCCTTAGTTGATCATTCATGCCATCTTTTATGTCACCATCCTAATCAGAGTATTTAACACCAACCCACCAAGCCCAAGCAGTTACAAGTCACAGATCACCTGACAATCATAACAAGCTATGGATTTTTAAACTGACATATGTATATCAACAGCTAACCAAATGCCAAAATTGTAACCTATCTTTTAATCATGCACCACCTCCCAGCTCCATAATTTTCATGTTATTCAATTAACCAAACAGTTAAGACCTCCACTTAGTAATTCCAATAGCAGTGAAGTAGACTGACACCTTGGCCCTTCCTTTTTTGAAGTTACAGACTAGCAGGTTAAAGTGATAAGTGCCATGAAGAGAAATAATACATAAAAAGGAGGTAGAAAGAAAATCAGTATCATCTCTGTTCCAATACAGCTACAACTCAACCAACTAAAGTCAAGCTACATGACTCGAGGACTTTATATATAGTATTACAGACCTCTAACCTTTAAGAGCATTCAGAACACTATGTATGGGTACAGTTTTGGAAGATTTGGAGAAAAATTAGAAGTGAACACATGGTCCTCCTATAAGTCCATGGACTCTGGATCACAGGGACTAGAAAAGCCACCTAGGAGGCAATTATAATAGTTCAGCCTTAAGACAATAATTAAAGTGGTGGTTGTAAGGATAAAGAAAGATTTTAGATATGTAGAGGTACTGAGGAACAAGAATTGTTAAGAGCATACATGGGGAATAAAAGAGATGTTGGATGAATCTCACATTTTTGTTGATGACATCCAAGGATCCTGGGAAAGCCAGGGCTGCAGTAGATAAAAGTTAGAAACCCCATATAGATGCAAACCTGAGAGGAGACCAAGGCAGAAGGAGCACAAGAATGACCAATGTCGTCAAGAGTTTAGAAAGAGGTGTCTGAAGAGTAGCTCTGCTGACTTTAGTTTTGTATTCTGGTTGCTATATATGCTATATGTTGCTTTTATAACCAATATTATATCAAAAGCCATTGGATGAGGTTTGCAGAACTTACCATGATCTCTTAAGCCTGAGTAGGAGAGGTATCTAAGAGATTTGAGAATTCTTTTAGTGTTATTGTCTTCTTTTTAATGAAAAGACATTATTCTCACTTTACTGTATAACATATTAGTGAATATACCAGCTTGTATTTTCTCAAATGGGAAATGGCAAATGGGGCACATTTTTCCGATTTCCCCAGAAAGCTCAGTATCATCTTTTGGAGGATTCTATTTCTCATGTCATCTGTCTTACTATCCAAAGGATACCAATGGTGGTGTTAAAGCACTCTGAATACGGCCCGAGAGGGATGTCTTCTATATTTGAGTCCTCGTGGATGAACTGTAATCTAATTTAATGGGTAGACACAATTGAAAACCTAACTAAGGAGTATGCACCTGTAACAATTGCTGAGTCTTGGCCAATCCCAGAAGCCATACCTCAACCACACTCATACATGGCTTAGTGTCAAACTGTCTTCAAATAAGGCAAATGCCAACCTGTAACCAATCCAGCTGTTTCTGTATCTCACTTCTGATTTCTGTATGTCATTTTCTCTTTTTTTGTCTATAAATTTGTTCTAACTATGAGGCGTTCCTGTAGTCTCTCTGAATCTGCTGTGTTTCTTAAGGATGTCCAATTTGTGAATCATTTTTTTTTTCCTTGCTCAGTTAAACTTTGTCAAATTTAGTTTGTCTGAAATTTTAACAGATCTGGCATCAGAAGTGGGATTCAAAGTAAGACTCTGGCAACCCGCAGAAACATCAGGTGACCAGGTGAGGTAGCCGCTGAACCCATTGTGCTCAGAGCTCTCTTAATTGTAATTGGAGGTCATGGGTGAGTTTTCTCTCAGTCTGAACTCCACTAACTTGCGTTTTGGGGTCTCTGAGTTCACTTGAGCAATACTTAGGCTGGACTGAGTCTAAGATCAAATTGGATTTGATAATTAACTAGATTGAATTCAATTAGAGGCCTTGGACTTCAGGTAGGCACCTTATTTTTAATACTGGAATCATTTCAGTCCAGGGAGTCTGGGACTACACCTTCTGGGACTTTAGCTAATTATATGTATAAAAATTATGAGCCCAGAGGTGTGCATTTTTTTTTTTTTTTTTTGAGACAGTCTTACTCTGTCTCCCAGGCTGGAGTGCAATGGTAGGATATTGCTTCATTGCAACCTCTGCTTCCTGGATTCAAGCAATTCTGCCTTAGCCTCCCGAGTAGCTGGGACTACAGGCAACTGCCACCATGCCCAGATAATTTTTGTATTTTTAGTAGAAACAAGGTTTCACCAAATTGGTCAGGCTAGTCTCGAACTCCTGACCTCAGGTGATCCACCCACCTTGGCCTCCCAAAGTGTTGGGATTACAGGTGTGAGCCATTGCACTCACCAAATGTGTGCATTTTTAGAAAAATGGGCTAACCCCACTAAAGAGAACTTAGAATTAAGATGGCCACAATGTGAAAGTTTTAATCTGGATAAAATTGCTTATTTGGGAGGCATATTAGGAAAAGGGGGATCAAAAACTCCCCAAAAACAGTGGGACATAGTCTTTCATTGGTGTGCAAAGGTTTCTAAAAGACTAAATAAATCAAAAAATAACTCCCTAAAAGATTCTTTGCAAAAAGCAAATGAAAGTCTTAAGCAACAGACCAAGGACATGACAAAAGAGGACATGCTCTGACTGAACTAACCTGACTGTTCCTTTTCTTTATCCGTTTCTGCCTACATGCTGAGTCCACTAACCTTTTTGCTAAAGGTTAATTTAGCAAAATGAATCTTTCACCCTGAAGATGATGAAAAAAAGGAAGTTAGATGCCTTACAAAATAAGACCCAATCAGCCAGTCCTGCCTGCTGTAACTGCTTTCACTCTATGGTCTAAAATTTTGAAGGACTTCCCTGATTCAAGGGAAGATCCTCAAAAATTTACTGAGGAATTTAGAAACCTCATAGGAGCTTACCATTCAGGGCTTCCTGACCTTTACCAATGTATTCACATGATATTGGAGCCGGTGAAGCTCAGGAACGGATGGCAGCAGCAGAATGGGACAAACCTAAGGAGGGTATTAAAAACCCCTCCAAAAACTCCTCATGAGAAGGGTCAAAAGTAGCTAGAAAAGTTGCTGGAAACCTTCTACATTCAATTTCTAAATTTTTTTCTGCAAAAAGTTGACTAGTTTGTCATAAAATCTTGTAAACAAAAAAGGGATGAACCAGATTCAGATTATAGAACTCGCTTAGATCGTGAAACACTCTGGGCTCAAAGTACATCAAGGAGTATTTTCTGCAGGGACCGAAATAGCATTAACTGTTTTATTATCAATGGGCTCCATCCTGAACTTAGATGTTTAATTAAAGAATGCAAGCTTACAATATGACTGTATTGGTGGCCTTAGCTGAATGTTTTGAGAGGACTCTAGAGCAAGAGAAAACTCAAAAGGCTAACAAGCTTATGACTCTTCAATTACAACAGCTACAGAGGCCGGGACCAAAGGGGCCTTTCTCATCCTCATTTTAAATCACAACAGAGAAGTCCTAGAACAAGAAATTCTTTACTTCAAGATGTCTGTCTTTATTGCAGATAACCAGGGCACTGGAAAAGGTTTTGTCCGCTCTATATAGGTCTGTCCATAAGTCTCCCTTTAAGCTGAACTGTTTCTCCACTAGAGGGAGCCCAAGAGACCTTAGCCCTCCAGATAATAACATTTAGGAGGCTTCGAGGGATTCCCTGGTACATTGCTCCAGTACCTTTAAATGAACATGGAGAAACAGGTTAAAATAAATGGGGAGTCACGTACAGTACTGGTGGATACAGGAGCTATTCTATTTACCATGAACCCCATTTTAATAAGCCAACAAACCCCTTGAAGTAAAAAAGGTCATTTCTGTGATAAGGTTTTTTTTTTTTTTATTTGTATTTTTTCTGTTCCAGCTTACATGTGCAGGACATGCAGCTTTTTACATAGGTAAATGTGTGCCATGGTGGCTTGCTGCACAATCAACCCATCGCCTAGGTATTAAATCCTGCATGCATCAGCTATTTAATCTGATGCTCTCCCTCCCTGCCCCACCTCCCAGGCCGCAGCGTGTGTTGTTCCCCTCCCTGTGTCCACGTGTTCTCATTGTTCAGCTCCCACTTATAAGTGAGAACATATGTTGTTTATTTTTCTGTTCCTGCATTAGTTTGTGTGGATGATGGCTTCCAGCTCCATCCATGTCCCTGCAAAGGACATGATCTCATTCTTTTCTATGGCTGCATAGTATTTTATGGTGTATATGTACCACATTTTCTTTATTCAATCTATCATTACTGGGCATTTGGGTTGATACCATGTCTTTGCTATCCTGAACAGTGCTGGAATGAACATACGCATGCACATATCTTTATAATGGAAAGATTTATATTCCTTTGGGTATAGACCTAGTAATGGGTTTACTGGACCAAATGGTATTTCTCATTCCAGTTTTTTGAGGAATCGCCACGCTGTCTTCCACAATGGTTGAACTAATTTACATTCTGTGGTGGGGGGTTTCAAATCAAATTCAAGACATTCCCGTATCTGAACCCATTCAATCAATGTTGGGGCCCTTTTCAGAAAAATACACTTTACTATGTGATACTTCTCCAGTAAACTTGTTAGGGTAAGATTTACTTTCACAGCTAAAAGGGCACGTAAACCTTCCTCAGAGTTTCCTGATTCTCCTGAACCAGAATTGTTATGCTGTCTACAGAAAGAAATTGATATGATTGAAACTCAGGCCTGTAATACCCCTAGATCTTTCAAAATACTTAAATAAATGTTCATGGGCCTCTTTTCCAACTGATCTGGGAAGAATTAAAAGTGTTCAGCCTACAAAAGTCCAAATAGATGATGCTAAACCTTTGCCTAAATTGCCCTAACATCCACTAAAACCTGAAGCAATTCAAGAGCTCTAACCAATTGTAGAAGATTAAATTAAACAAGGACTCATAATCCCAAGTGCCAGCCCTTGTAACACTCCAATCCTACCAGTTACAAAGCCAAAAGGATGAGGTTGAAGATTTGTTCAAGATTTACGGGCAATAATAAAATTGTGATACCAACATTTCCTGAAGTCCCAAATTCTAATTCTTCATTTATCTAATGTACCTACTGATTCCAAGTATTCACAATAACAGATCTCTGCTCAGCCCTTTTTTTTTTTTTTTTTTAACCATTCCAGTTTATAAAAAGAGTCAATACTAGTTTGCCTTTACTTGGTAAAATCAGCAATACATCTGGACTGTAGTGCCACAAGGGTTTGCTAAAGCTCTCTTGTATTTTTCCCAGGCATTGGCATTGCATCAGGACTAATGACACTACAGTTTCCTCAGAATTCTATTCTCATTCAGTATGTAGATGACGTATTGTTATGCTGTCCCACTAAGGAGTGCTCTGAAATGGACTCAGTTTACCTTTTACAGCAACTCTCATATAAAGGTCACAAGGCTTCAATGGAAAAACTTCAGTATTCAAGGCAAAAAGTCCACTATTTGGGCCATGACTTGACTGCTGAAGGACTCTCTCTCTCATCTGAGAGGATAAAAACTCCATAATTTTCCTTAACCTGCAACCAAAAGACAATTAAAAGCTTTCTTGGACTCACAGGATGTTGCAAATTCTGAGTTCCAATTTTTTCCTTAATAGTTTCACCATTGTATGCGCTCACTAAAAATGCTATATGATAGCTTTTACCTTAGGAAGACAGTTGTAAGCAGACTGTTGGCCAGATGAAATTGGCGTTACAACAGCCCTCTTTCTATGACTTCCAAATTACACTCAGCCTTTCACCTTATTTGTTCATGAGTGTAACAATCAGGCATTAGGAGTCCTTACTCAAGAACATGGTGGTAAACATAGGCCCATTGCATACTATAGCCTGCAAGTAGACCCAGTCACTAAGGCATATCTTAATTGTTTCAAAGCAGCAGCAGGAGTGGCCAAGCTGGCAGAAACTTCATCAGATCTTGTTTCAGAAAATGAATTTAAGTTGCAAGTCCCATATGCTGTGTAAAGTCTGTTAAATTCCAACCAAACCAAGCATTTTTCAGTAAGCAGACTAACATCTTATAAATTACTTCTCCCATCTCCTTCTAATCTTCATATAAAACACTACAATCTATTTAACCCTGATACTGTTATCTCTGCATGATGATGGCAAAGACCACAATTGTGTAAGCATAATGATATGGTTTGGCTCTGTGTCCCCACCCAAATCCCACTTTGAATTGTAATAATCCCCATGGGGATTATTGAATCATGGGGGTGGTTCTTTCCTGTGCTGTTCTCATGATAGTAAGTCTCATGAGATCTGATGGTTTTATAGAGGGGAATTCCCTTGCACATGCTCTCTTGCCCACCACCATGTAAGACGTTACTTTGCTACTTCTTATTCACCTTCTACCATGATTGTGAGGCTTCCCCAGCCATGTGAAACTGTGAGTCAAAGAAACCTCTTTCCTTCATAAATTGCCCCATCTTGAGTATATTTTTATTGGCATTGTGTGAACAGAATAATACAGGTAGTGTCAGAAATAGTGGCCCCTCGTGTTGACTTATAAGATACTTCACTGGATAATCTTGAATTAATACTTTTTGTTGATGGATCCTATGCCAAAAACTCAGAAGGAAAATTTCAGGCAAGATATGCTGTTACTACCCAAGATGAGTTAATAGAGAAGGGAATTCTTCCTCAATTTAAGTTGACCCAACCTGAAGAGCTTTTTGTCCTCACCCAAGCTTGTCATATAGCTAAAGACAAGTCAGTAAATACTTATACTGATAGCAGATATGCTTTTGGAGTAGTACATGATTTTGGAATGATATAGAAACTATGAGGGTTTCTCACATCTAGTGGGATCCCCCCATCAAAAATGGAATCCAAGCAGATAAACTCCTTTCTGCTATCCTTTTACTATTGCAGATTGCTGTTAAGATTGAAGGTCATACTTGTAGAACTGAATTTGAAAGTCAGGAAAATGCTTTAGATTTTTATGCAAAATCAGTCAGTGCTGAAACTGTTAAGATATGCAGTTTGAATGAACTGCATATAATTAATCCAAGCCAGCTTCCTTATGATGACCTATTTAATAAACAGTACAATGCATCTCATTAGGAAAAATAAAATTGGTATCTAAAAGGATGTAAATTTAATATGAAGTACAGACTCACAGAGGGCCCAGATGGCTACCTGATGCTTCCTGAGTCTGAAGCTTTCATTGTTGAAAGCACTGCACTCTACCACAACTCATCATGTAACAGACAAAATGATCCAAATTATTAAAAAGAAAAATACTGGTGGGTTGACTTCCAAAACTGCTAAAATGGTTTATAACAAATGTTTGACTTGTCAAAGCAATAATCCTGAAAAAACAAAGTTTCAGGTAATATATATCTACCACCTGATGTACTGTTTGAGCATTTACAGATAGACTTCATTCAATTGCCAACCTCAATGAGACACCAGTATGTTCTGGCAATAGTTTGCATGTTTTCTGGTTGTATAGAGGCCTTCCCATGTAGGAAAGCTGATGCAGTGATACTAAGAAATTATTGGAAAATCTTTTTCATTTATTGGGGGAATCCCTGGAAAAATCTCCAGTGATTGAGAAACTCATTTACTGGGTGTTATAAAGCAGTTAAATAAGGTGCTACAGACGCTGTGGCATTACCATTTTCCCTATCATCCTTACTCTTCTGAAAAGGCCGAAAGAACAAATGTCATATTAAATCTGAAATTGGCAAAGTTAACTGAATCAATTGGGTTGCTTTGGCCAAAGGTACTACCTTTGGCTTTAATGGCAATCAGATCCACTCTTATTAGAACATGTAAGTTGACCCCTTATGAAATAGTCACTGAAAGACCTCATGCTCCTCCTGCTCTCTCAAACTCTGGTATAACTAAATACTGCAAGGCTTTAATGCATTATGCCAAAGTGTACTTTTGCCAGGTAAAGAAAACTTTTGAGATCCACTAACTGAGGACAATCAGACCCTCCATGGTCTAGAACCTGGAGACTGGGTCTTCTAAAAACAACATCAGAGGAAGACTGCTTTTGAGCCTTGTTGAAAGGGGCCATGCCAGGTTCTTCTCACCACCCACCTTGCAGTGAAGCTTCAGGACCTTGAACCTTGGGTCTACATCTCACAACTCAAAAAGGCCCCTTCAGGCTCTTGGAACTGTACACCTGTCAGAGACTTTAAGGTAACGTTAACTAGGAAAATCTCTCTCCAGGAGCAGACGTCATCCTAGTTGTGGATAGCCTTCCAAGATCATGGATCAATACTTCTCTACCATCATGAAAGCCTTATGTGTGTTTCTGTTTTCCTCACTTTTTGTTGCCCTAATCCTTTCCTTTTCCCTGCAGGAAAACCCATGGGACTATAATCATTTGATGGCTTTAGCTCAAGCTTGTGCTCTGGCGCAACACCAGAGTGATGGTTGGGTTTGTGGGTTAATGCCAAAAACTTAGGAAATTAATTATTCTACTGATGCCAATGCCTCACTGTCTTCCTCATGAGAATCACCCTGAAACTCCAAGGGTGGAATGGAAAACTCTTCTTGATATTCTAAACATCACTGCTGTTTGCTTTCCCACACTCACTAAAAACAACACTGTTTTTCAATTGATAACTTGGTCATTACCGTGTATAAAAAACCAATCCAAGTGATGTAGGCAAAAGGTATATTGTGTTTCCAGGTATCATGCAATCAAGATCTGAGAATTACCTATGTTGGTACAGTAATTGCTTGTATAACATAACTGGATTAAACCCAGTAGGGTCTCTCTTTACTAAATGTGGTTATACACCTTTACTATATGCTATAAAGTGCCACAAAAAAAGTAAATTTCCCACTGGATGTTTAGGAGCTATGCAGATTTATGGATGAACAAACTTGACTGAGCCCTGCTCAAATGCAGCTAGGTACCCCTCTTTTCCAACCCCTGAGGGTCTGTATGGGGTCTGTGGAGAACCTGTATATTCCATTCTACCTCCTCATTGGTTCAGATCTTGTTATTTTACCCAGCCTGCTCCTGTTTTTCAAATATCTTCTCCTGAAAATACCCATGATAGCCCTTAAAATTGGAGGCCAAAATGATCAATAACTGAAATTAGTGCTAACCTTGAAAAAGATGAGGATAAGCTAGTTTCCACTGAGGAAAGATTCCAGAGAGGCTCCTGGGGGCTCACTCTTGGTGGTAGTGGGATACCTGTTGTATAGAATTTAAATCTTAGATCTTTGTAGCCAGTCAGATCTCCCAGAATTTCAGATGGGTAAAAGCTACTCTCCGAAAAGTAGTTGACAACATACATATTCAAAAAAAGCACTTAATGGAACATCATGCAGCTTTAGTTTTTGCTCAAGCTGAAGGCTTATGTTTGATGTTAAATAAAACTGAATGTTGTACTCATCTCGCCACTGATTTTGTGACTACAGAAAGCTTAAAAGGTGGCTGATACTGCTGTTTCCTTAGACACTACTACCACATACCTTAAATAAATCTCTCAAGAGAAAAGGAACCCATGATATGTTTACCGGAGCAACTGACAGTTGGTTTGTAGGTATGTGATGGATGATATGCTTGGGTTTTCCAAGGGTTTCTAATCTTTATATTTTTTCCAATAAGTTTCCAAGTTATTATGACTTATATTACACCTGGATAACAATGAAAATGAGTATCTCTTTAAATCAGGCTACTTTTCAGAAAACTATGGTCCTTAGGTGTTATCACACTCCAAACGAGGACTGTGACCAATCAGACCCTAATATTGTTGAACTGCCTATATTGTGTAAACTTTAACTTGGTTAATTTGGTTCAGCACTTACTAGTTCATTTTCACAGTCATGTTCAAGTAAGGCAAATGCCAACTTGTAACCAGTCCAGGTGTTTCTGTACCTCACTTCTGATTTCTGTATGTCCTTTTTTTGTCTATATGTTTGTTCTGACCATGAGGAATCCCTAGAATCTCTCTGAATCTGTTGTGATTCTGGGGGCTGCTTCATTCACAAACTGGTTTTTTAATTTGTTTGAAGTTTTCTTTTAACAGTGCTTAGCAGTAAAGAACATTTTACTAAATTGTTCTATCACGGGTCCTTGCTCAAGGTGTTCAGCTTTTTCTTCTAACCTGGTTTTCAGCCCTAGATCACATATTTCTTCATTATTTTGCACAGGATCTAGTCAAGGGGTACATTTTGTATGTTTATATGGAATGTTCATAGAAGGGTGGTAGTATACTATCGTCCTTCCATCAGATGTCATATCAAACCCAACTTTGCAATTATAGTCCTCTGGTAGAGAAGAATACTTACAATTATGACAGATATACTATAAAGTTTCATTTTGGATTAGAAATCAATGTTTCAGATAACTATCTGTGATATCACCCATTTTACTGCTACTACTGCCATGATGTATCTAGATGCCTATAAAGTAGAATAAAACAAGATGTTTTGAAGAGTAACTGTTTAAAATCTGGCTCTAGACATACCAGTTTTCATCCCTTGGTGACTGCTCACCACGAGCCTGATTCCACCTGCTGTTTTGTTGAGACAAAGCAGCAGAGGTTGTCCAAAGGTGAATATGCTGTGTTTAAAGAGGTGGCAGTACAATATAGTTAGGATTTCATGAGTGTTTTCTAAAAGCAAGTGGAGAGTGAATCAGAGCTGTCAGCACATGAAGTAGATTCAAGTGCACTATAATCAACCTCCATAACCAGCCTTGAAATTGCATTTAGAGGATGCCTACCAGGTGTCTTCTGAGGTTGGCCACTGGGAAGAGTGAAGACTACATCAGAATCTTGTCAATGTTGGACTATTTTACTCTGGTATGCTGGCAGAATTCTCATGGAATACCGCACAAGAAACTCCAAATTATACAATGGCTATAACCTGTCCAAAAGATGACTTTTGACTTCTGAAGGTAAATCTCTTAAAACGATGTTTAGATATTTAGTCCTGGATTTTAAAGTAAAACCCTCAGACGGTTCCTTTGTATCAGAAGTGCTAGATCAAAGTTTAATATGACAATAAATGCCAGTGTCCAGATCATGTCTCCATGACAAAGAACATCATGACAATGTTCAGTTCTAACACAGGAGTAGGAAAATTATGGCCAAATCTCACCTTCTGACTGTTTAGTATGGTGAGCTAAGGATGGATTTGTTTTGTTTTGCCACTGCCTTATTATTTTAAGGGGCTTAAAGGTTTTAAGGCTTAAGGTTCAAGGGGCTGCCTGGGGGCATAGGGGCAGGCAGCCAGTTAGGCTCAAGCTCCTGTTCTGCTGGAAAAGGGAACAGTTTGAGGGTTTTCTTTCACTTTAAAATCCAGGACTTAATATCTAAAGATTGCTTTAAGAGATTTATCTGTAGAAGTCAAAAGTCACTTTTTGGACAGATCATAGCCATTGTGTACTGTGTAGTTTCTTGTGCAGTATTCCAAGAGAATCCTGCCAGCATACCAGAGTAACATTTTCCAGCATTGACAAGATTCTGATGCAGTCTGAAAGGATGCCTAACTAGACAGATAATTTAAAATTTTGCAGTCTGCAAGTAAATGCCCCTTTCTTTCTTTCCGGAATTCTGTATTTAGAAAAGAGAATTTACTTTTGACTATCATAAGCAGACTTAATTAAATCCCAGTGGTCTATAAGAATAAATCATTTTGCATTTGAAAAGAAGGATAAACTAAAAGATAAAAGCATACACGAGGCCCATCCTTAGGGACTAAGAGTGTGATATGAGAGAAAGAGTTTACGCGATAGGATGAACTCATGGACGTAGCTTTGAATGAGATAAAATAAAAGCCTTTTGTATTAAATTAAATTGATGTATGCACAGAGAACATTAACCTAATCCAAAAAAATACCAAGAGTAAAACTAATCAGATATTAATAAGAAGGATTTTAAATCCTTAAAACCTCCTAACACCTACACTCTCAGGTAAATACGATTTAATGTTTTGCAAGCCTTATTTTTCTGCTAGACTTAAATGAGGGAAGTCATGTCTACAAATGCATAGCAGCAAGATATTTTCAAATCTGGTAGTCTAAGTCAAAGAAATCCCAGTTGTAAGATTTGAAAGAGTTAAAGAGTTCACATAGATCAATGTTTTTGTTCTGTGTATGGATCAAACACAATACTACATGGAAAGTAGAATGTCGGTAATTAACAAGCAAGGACAGATTTACCCCATGTCTTAATGAGAAAATTGTTGAAAACTCTGGGTGACTCCTACACATATTGAAAACAAATTTTTCTTTGTTTAATGTGAAAACAAAGTTTTAAATGTATTTTAAGTTTATTTTCCACTTTTTAAATTAATTTAATCAACATATTTTTTCATTAAGTTTATTTTCCACTCTTTTGTAGGTTTAATATTCCTTTGATAGACAATGAGCAGAGTGAGTCAAGATAGCCCTGACTATTTAACACTGAATTCTCTACTTAACAGAAAAAAAATAAAGCATAAGAAATTCCTGGCTAATCTCATGGACACTTAGAGCAATTCACCAGCTAGCATAGTGGTTAAACATGTTCTCCACTAAAGTGAAACACAGAACAGACCTTTCCTTGTTAGGGCCAAGAGTGTTTACTGGAATCTGAGAACTCCAAATATGTGGCTCATAAATATGTCACTTTTTAACATGCAAGGGAATATGGAAAATATACCAATGGAGTGATTGAAAGGTCTGCACACAGACACATTTACCTATAAATATAAAATATAATTTATATCCTCCTCTTCAATGCCATTGCAATTTGCATCAGTGACATTTCTGGTCCTATACCAGGCAGCCTATAGAAACTTATATCATGAAGAAACACAGTCTTTGCATTGAAGAGTTAATAATCTAATGAAGAAAACAAAATAAGTGACAAATCATTACTTTTATCACACATTACTTTTATCAGGAGCACATATCCAAATAGCCAAATATGAAGGTAAGACTTCATTTGTTGCTTTGCTTTTAAAAATAATAGTTGCTTGAGAGTGTCAGCAAGATGACTGACTAGAAGCTTCTAGAGCTCTTCCTTCCTACTAAAAACCCCAAAACAGCAAATAAACAACTATATTTTGATCAAAATAAAGAAAATACCATAGAACAGCAAAGCAGCAGCAGAAATCCTGCAGAGCACAGAAACCCAGGATGCTGCATGGAGAAAGGAAGGAAACACCTTGCCTTCACTACCCCCATCTTCCCAGTTGGGATAAGCTTGGGACTAGGAGATACTTCTCCCTGCTGGGAAAAGTAAGCAATAAGATCCCAGCAGCCACATCGGCATCATGGACACTTTCAGTCCTCACAGGTATCCTCACAGGGTCTTAGCCCAGCTGAGAGAGCTTCTAGAGTCTACACACTGAGCCACTCTCAGAGAAGGAGCCAATGCTGTGCCCTGCCCACCTCCCTATGGCCCATACTGCTTATAAGCAGAGGCACAGTTAGACTGCATGATACTCCAGTGGCAGGCAGCCATCGCGTCCCTCTATCCCTGAGGCTTGACTGCCACTGCACCATCCCCACCCAGTAGTGCACCATCCCTGAGCAGAGCTGCTGCTATGCTCTATGCCCAGAGCCAAGCTACTGCCAAGCCACTTCATGCCCCCCATCCCAGTTACTGCTGGATCCTCCCTATAGGGCTGAACTAAAGTAATACCCCTACAGACCCAGAGGCTTGAACTACCAGAACAGTTGTGCCTCCAGCACCACAGCCAAGGCAGCACCTCATTCCCCAGCAACCTGCATCTACAGCACACTGGAGATGTTGTACCTTGAGCCTCAGAACAGGCATAGTACCCTAACCCCCAAGAACCTCAGGCCTCCTGCACAAGGAATTACTTGTGTCCCTAGTGCTGAAGCTGAGGGTAGCAGCATGCTACTCCCCGACATCCACCCTGCCAGGAAATCTGAGCCTCTGGCACATCAGAACAGTTGCATCTCCCAGCACCACAGCTGACATGGTGCCTGACCCCCAGGGATCCAGAGGCTCTGCTGACTCATGTAGTTGCACTTTCTGGGGTTGAGCAGATGCAGAGCTTTGCATCCCGGGGAATCAGACCCTTGCATGAGCTGTGTGACCTCATTTTCCAGGCTTACATTGCCTACCTGGAAATACGTTAGCCTCCTGCAGTTTATGCTGCAGCACCCCACCTCTGAAGGAGAGGTATCATCACTGTTTTGTTCCCCACCTGCAGGGTCCAAGCAACTGTGGCATCTTTCCATTCTTGGGTCCATGTTGCTGCTGCTGCACCTGGCCTCACAGAGCTGATTTGCAGCCCCATATTGAAACGGTCCCAAATTCAAGGCCTGAGGCTCTGAAGCATCCCTTCCTTCTTGCACAGGCTAGTGCTGTACCCTACCCCTCAGGGTCAAAATCACAACTACATCTCAGGACTCTGGGTAAAAATTTGGGTGTGCCTCAGAGCAATAGACCCTGGCTTAATGGGAAAAATGCGTTCACCTGTGCCTTGAAAAGTGAAACTTCACCTTAAGTCCACAGGCCTATAATTGTTTTATAGGACCTCAAGCCCAGAAACCTGACTCCACAGCTACTCCAAGCATGTATGCCCTAGATCACAATTCCACTGTGGCTGCCTGTTAGCCATGGAAGACTCAGTACCAACAGATATCCCCTCAACTAAGATTTCCCATGGTGAGGAAGACAAGAACAAGAGAATTCTTAAAGCCCTCACCCTAATAACTTATACAGCTACTGTCACTGCCTCAACCCCTACAGCCTAGATCACTGAGGCACCCTCAGTCATTGCTAACATTGATCACAGCCAAAGAAACTGCATGGAGATTACTACACCCACATGGAACCAGAGCTACCACACCCTGCCCAACCAATACCCTGAAGCCCATCTGCAGATAAAAGTATTTCTCTATGGAGGCCAATCTATGAAGTTTGGAATAGCTGACTGCACAACGAAAGGCATATATATCAATGCAGGGACACAAGAAACATGAAAAAGAAAACAAGATACTACCAAAGGAACACCATGATTCTTCAGTAACTGACCCCAAAGAAACGAAAATTTATAAATTGCCCAAAAAGAAATTCAAATATTCAAAACAATGATCTTAAGGCAACTCAGCAAGATGCAAGAGAATACAAATAGACAGTTCAATGAAATCAGAAAAGGAATTCATGACAAGAATGAGAAATTTAATAATGAGACAGGTATCATTAAAACCACCAACACCACTATCACCAGTCTTGAAACTGAAGAATTAAATGAAGAATTAAATGAACAGTAGACCAGACTGATCAGAGGAAAAAAAATCTGTGAACTTGAAAATAGGTTTTTTAACATGATTCAGAAGGGCAAAAAATTAAAAAATTAAAAAAATAAAGGAATAAGACAGTCTATGGGGCATTATTAAGCAAACAAATATTTAGATTATAGGGATTCCAAAGGAACAAGAGATAGAGAAAGACAAAGAAAGCTTCTTTAATAAAATAATTGTGGGGAAATCCTAGTCTTGAAGAGATATGGACATGCAGACCTGTGAAGATTATAGGTTTCTCACAGATTCAACCCAAGGAAGTCCTGTCTTAGGCACATTATAATAAAATAGTAAAAAGTCAAAGACAAAACGAATTCTAAACACCACAAAAGAAAAGCATCCACATCACGGGTAAGAGAATCTCTGTTACTATCAGTGGATTTCTTAGCAAAAAGCTTGCAGGCCAGGAGAAAATGGGATGATATAGTCTGAGTGCTGAAAGAAAAAAAAAAAAAAAACCTGCTGGCCAAGAACATTATGCTTAGCAAATCTGTTATCCAAAAATGAAGGCAAAATAGTCTGTTTGGATAAGCAAAACTGAGGAAATTCATCAACAATAGACCTGCCTTATAAGAAACACTTAAGGCAGTTCTTCAAATGGAAATGAAAAGATAATAATTACTATCATTAACACATATGAAAGTATAAAACTCACCAGTAGAAGTAAATTCAGAGTCAAATTTGGAATGTGCCAATATTGTAAAGTTGGTGTGTAAACTACATGTATCTTCAATATGAAGGTTAAAAGTGAAAATGGTAAAAAGTAACAAAAACTACGATAAGTTGTTAAGGAATACACAATATAAAAAGATGTAAATTGTGACATTCCAAACAAATAGGGGAGGAATAAAAACCTAGAGTTTCTTTATGTAACAGAGTTGTTTTCAGCTTAGAATTGCAAAGTATAAAATATTTTATGTAAGTCTTATAGTAACCACAAAAAAAAAACTACAGCAGATATACATACAAGAAAGAGAAAGAAATCAAAGCTTAGCACTCTAGAAAATTATCAAATCACAAATGTAGAAAAGAAAAAGGGAAGGAATGAACAACCTACAGAACAACCAGAAAACAAAAAACCAAATGGCAGTACTAAGTCTTTACTTGTTAATAATAATCTTGAATGTAAACATTAAGTTCTCCAATCAAGAGTAGCTGAAATAATTTTTAAAAACAAGATCCAATTATATGCTGCTTTCAAGAGACCCACTTAAGCTTTAAGAACACACATAGGCTGAATATGAATGGATGTAAGAAGATATTCCATGAAAATGGTTATCAAAAGGTATCAGGGGTGGCCATACTTAAAGTTGACTATAAGTCAAAACTCACAAGAAACAAAGAGGGTGATTATTTAATGATGAAGAGGTCAATTCATTAAGGACATAATTATTGTAAATGTATTTGCTCCCAACACTGAAGAACCTAAATATATAAATATGTACTGATGGACATGAAGGGAGACATAGATAGCAATACAATAGTGAGAAATTTTGATATCCCATGTTCAACAATGCATAGGTCAATTATACAGAAAATTAATGAAAATACTGAATTTCAACTGCATTTTTGACCAACAAGACCTAATAGATGTATTTAGAACTTTGCACCCAACAGCAGTTTATACATTTTTCTCAAACACTCATGGAACATTCTCCATAACAGACTATATATAAGGCCACAAAACAAGTCTTACCAAATTTCAGAAAATTAATATCTAGTATTGTTTCAGACCACAACAGTATGAAATCAGAGATCAGTAACAAGAAGAATCTTGGAAAATTCACAAATATATGGAAATTAAACAACATTCTCCAGTATAACCAATAAGTCAATAAATAAATCAAAAAAGAAATTTAGAAATTTGAGGCAAATGACAATGGAAACACAACATATCAAAACTTATGAATGCAATAAGAGGAGTTTTGGGGGAAAGTTTATTGCAATAAATACCTACATAAAAAATTCCAAATAGACAGTAAAAGACTGTGCCTCAAGGAACCATATAAAAGAATGAACAAACCCAAAATTAGCAGAATAAAGAAATAATAAAGATCAGAACAGAAATAAATCAAATAGAAAACAGAAAAGCAATGGAAAGAATGAATAAAACAAAGTTGATTCTTTGGAAAATTAAACAAAATCGACAAACCCTTAGTTAGTCTGAGAAAAAAATTGAGAGAAGAAAAATAAATAAAACAAAATGAAAGTGAAGAAACTGCAAACAGACATCTCAAAAATATAAAGGATAAGGGATTATAATGAACAACTATATACCAACACATTGAACAACCTAAAGCAAATTGCTAAATTTCTAGAAAACGATAACTTGCCAAGATAGTGTCGACCAGGTGCAGTGGCTCAAGCCTGTAATCCCAGCACTTTGAGAGGCCAAAGCAGGTGGAATACTTGAGGTCAGGAATTCAAGTCCAGCCTAGCCAACATGCTGACCCTGTCTCTACTAAAAATACAAAATATTAGCCAGGTGTGGTGGTGTGTACCTGTAATCCTGGCTACTTGGGCTCCTGAAGCCAAGAATCAGGAGATTCTCCTGAGACTGT